GGAAAATGTGCGTTATTTATCAGGACATCTGTTTCTGGCGGAATTGTCTCCATGTCGCAAATGTCACGGAATTTATCGCCTCCGAGAGCGGAGCCGGTCAAGAGAGGTTTGCCAACCTTCTCTTCTCTTCTCTCTACTGTCATCTGGGTGCAAAACTGTTGCTCCAAAAAAGGCCTTAAACAGTGCCTAGGAGGTCTGAAATGCAGTCAGAATACAAAGAAAAACAAGAAGACGCTAAAGGTAAGCTTCAAAGCGATATTCAATGTACATTTTGCTAATTTAGTGAGCAAAGAATATTTCTCCATACAACGTCTTATAATTTTCTTGCTGTATGAATAATTAATTAGCTAAGTAGGATAATGTTGTTCACGGCTGTCATAGTGAGCTTGGGCTACCTGTGGTTGAGGTAGCTGCAAACGCTGCTGCAGTAGGAATTTCACGATCACTCCGATGATAAAATACATTGAATAAAAGCAATAAACAAACGATAAAGGGAAATATGTAGATTTCAGCGATGAAATTGACGACATTTCTTCGGGTAAAAGACAAATTTCCTCACATCTCAAATATCGCATCCAAGATGGTTCACAACAAGGTCACGCGCGTGTTGCACGTTTTCCGCTCTAACTTTTGATTGGCGCACAGAACAATGCTTAAACTTGGCCGTGAGGTAAAAGACAGGAGAATGGGGAAAATAAAGCTAAAAAAAGTTGTTTTTGTCACGTTTTTCTTAGCCTGCGTAGCATGGCGGTGTTGTCGAGCTGGGCGCAGAGCGGCGTAGCCGCGAAATTCGCGCGCGAAGCGCGCGAGAACGAGCGGCGAAGCCGCGAGAAAAATAAAAACCGCCTGCCCGGATTCGTGGCCTTTTCAACTGCCGCCCCCTTCAACTGATTTTGACATCCTGTTGACAACTTGTTTGGTTTCAGTTTTCCCAGCCAATCAGAAATAAAGTGTTGACAGCCTAAACACGACACAAAAGCTCGTGATATAGTGTAAAACGTGACCTTGGCCGGAATTGGAGTTTGCTTGAACAAACACGGGTTTTTTCTTTGTGGCTATCTCGCGCATAGTTGACTACACTGCGTTCTAAACTTGACTGAGTAGATCTTATTTTTGCTGCACTAAGTCTTACATTTATTTAGAGGTCATGGAGTTGGTTTGTTTAATCCGTATTGAGTAACTATTTCCTGTGGTTAATGTTATTTTCGCTAATTAGAATTTGTTGATCTCAGATGCAGTTGTAAAGTACTAACTTCTTTGACCACTCTTAAAGCCTAAAGCTTTTTTATTACGGCTAAATAAATATTTTAGTTTCTTTGGTCTTTTCCGACTAAAATGCCTGGATCTGGACAACTACAAACCAAGGAGCCTTGGTTTGTAGTTTCTTTGTCACTGCTTTGTCCGTGAATGTTTTGACGCTGGACCCGGCTTTTTAAGTGTTGTTTGCAGGATGTTGTATTTTTACGTATAGCGCGATCTTCAGACTTGAGTTGTAGCTTAAGCTACACCAAGCAAAAAAGTATGGAGAATTACGCTGTGCGTCTTTCTTCTACCGTATGCGATTCATCGACCACAATAGCGGACACCGTTCGATGTATTGCGCTGGAGTGCGTTATTCTCTAACACCGAGTAATAGAGAAAATTGAGGTGAACTTTCTCGAAGCACTGAAATTTACTGTTTCTGTCATAAGGTCCATTGCTTTCCAGCTCAGCGACAACATTTCAGATATCTGGTCGTCGATAGTACCTTTTAGAGGGGAAATTGTGATCATACCGGTTTTCGATGGGGATATTTCTTCGTTGGCCATAGCAAAGACAGTAAAGATCATGCTCTTGCCAAATCTTGTTGACAAAATTTCCATGACATCTCTCCTTTGAAGAAGACTGTAAACGGCCATTTCCTGTTTAGGCTTCAATACAATTGCCCTGTTTTTCCGTCAAATATTCAAGATCGACGACGCTCCGGTCAACGCTTCTTTGATATTTTGATTTTGTTTTGCGGAGATGTTCAGTCCCTCAAAACTCTCCCATAGGATATTACCGAAATATTTGATTGACAGGCGAACATTCCGAACCAATCGGAACGATCCGTACGCTGGCGTGCGGACCGACTCAAAAAAGCGTGCAGGCGGTTTTTCAAATTTCTTCCGCCCCAATCTCCTCGCGGTTTCTCTGCCCTCGCCCGCCTTTATTACTTAGCGCGCCCAACCAAAACCGCCATGCTACGCAGGCTACGTTTTTCTTTGTTTTTTCGTCGATTTTTGGATTTCAGCCAATCAGAACGCACCATTTAATTGAAATTAAAAATTAAAAGTTAACACCTTTTAATCGATTTTGCGTTCTGCCTGCCTAGTTCTTACGCGGACCATTACATTTACGCGGACCAGGGCTTACATTTTTCAAAGGCCCTTTTTGAGGGGCTTATATTCGGAGGGGCTTATCTACGGAGGGAAATTTGCGTTTCAAAATCGATTAGGCTAGCCTTATAGTTGGAAGGAAATTTATCGTTTTTGCTTTGTTTTACTTTGTATCTGAGGGCAATTTTCCAAGTACAAGCCCCCGAGGGGCTTATATTAAAGGGACGATTTAACGTAGGGCCTTTTTGCGTTACCTGTTACATGGATGTGCTTATTTTTGGAATTTTACGGTATTTTGGCTTTTTTCTTGCCGGAGTCTGCCGTACTTTTTAATGTCCGGACAGCTAATTGCACCTCTTCTTGATACACAATTTTTGATCAAAGCAAGCCGTCCGTTTTTTATTTTTTTAAAATATATTTTTCTTTGAATATTGTTGTCTAGTTTCATTTTTCCTTAATAATATGCCTCCTTACCTTCTTTATGGCATCATCAGAACTATAATAAACGGATATGATCTCCTTGACGAATTCTTTGATTGCTGCCCATAGTTTTAAAGCATCTTCACGGTAATGGAAGTTGGGCAGTTTATCTACCTCATCAACTCCTCTTTCCTTCAAAACTTGGGGAATGTCATAAGTCTTCCAATTGCTGTGGGCCTTGTAGTACTTTTTCATTAGCGTAATATGTCCTGTCCAAAAACAAAGACGAATTGTATTTTATTACGAAATATACAGCAGTTGTTATGATGAGTCTAAGCGAAACAATTTCGTGTTTTCTCTGCAGGTAATATGCGTGCTTACAATTGCAATTTACCCAAACCTCCCGGGTGGAAATCTTTTGCATAAACATGGAACTATAAAATTTGACCTGGTGGAAGAGCGACCTGGTACATAATATATTCAGATCAGCTGAAGAGACTAGCTAAAACAAGTAGAAAAAATTTATCCCCTTAAATTACAGCCCATATTTTCTGAAGCTTCCCAAACGAAATGGCGCGAACCATTTTATTTTTCACCCGGAATTTCCGGTTTTCCCGCGTAATTGGTAAGTACCCATGTTTTGCCATTTTAAACGCCCACCCTCTAGGGGCCCTAAATTTTAAGTTCACGCTTCGTTTGGCCTCAGTAGATATAAAACAAAATGTATACTTCGATTCAGTTTCTGCATTTATTTCTTGATTTGAATCAATGTTGTACGTGGTTAATAGTAGTGAGTGCTTTACATACCTCCACCACCCACCGTAAGGGTGAGATCGGCCACCCCTCCCTCGGCAATCAGGCGATCTCGCCCCAGAGTGTTGATGGCGAGAACCCCTCGGATGTGAGGCGACAGCAGTTTCCACAGGGGGTGGATGGTAGGCAGTTGTCGGTAGCTGGCAACCGCGATCGGTTCCATGAAGAGATGAGTTCGAAGAAGATGAGTAATCATCTGAAAGGGATTTTTGAAAAGAAAAAAATATGTTGGAAAGGAATCTAAATTGGTTCCTTTGACTGATGCTATCTTAAAAAAAAAAAACGCAAAGCACAAATTAATAATAATAATAATTTAAACATATTTATGCAGGATTGCTGCTTCAGTTTTAAGAAAAAAACTGCTATCAATGCAGGTCCTGTAAAAAATTAAAAACGAAAAAATAAAAATAAAAAGATTTAAAATATAGATAAAAATCAAATCACAATATTACAAAAAAAGCAAGGTTTTTTTTTAATCGCGCGTCCTTGTAAAGCGTGATAGTATCGTCTACTTTCCACACTTGGTCTAGAACTTTCGTTGCAAGGCCGCGCATCCTTAAAATGCTTAGGGACCTTTCTATTCGATGACGAGGAAGAATACCAGAGCGAGATTTAACTTTAAAGTTTTTCGCGTATTCTCCAAAAATTTACACCCTGGAAAGATTCATTGTTTCCGCTGCTACGACATTCTCCCTAAAACCCGTTATAGAGTGACGACTGCTATCACGTTTTCCCGCCAACTGACGCTGTTTCATGTGCGCGCACTACTTAGTATTGTAAAAATCTCTTCCTGGTGTTCGTCCTTGACTTAGAATCTTAAGATCTCCATTGAATGGAAATATGTGGATATTTACCTGATGATACTGAGTGTCCGCATTTCGTAGCCAAAACTTTGCGCAAATCCAGTCCAAGTCGGAGTCATTGGGAGTCCATATTGGATTATCTGGACTGGGCTGCTGATGTAGCTGGATTGCTATTGGCACCAGGTCCCCGCTTCCTTTCACATAAAACAGACCAAAGCTTGCGCACATGTATCTCCTTTCTAGGTCCTCCCGGTCCTGACCATAGTGGGGGATGTCCTCCAAGATTTCATAATCTACTATGTAGACCCGACCAGCCTGTAAATTATTAAACTAACCACTTAAAATAGGTTTAAACTGGTAATATTTTACGATTTTGCGGCGATATTATGAACTCCTGGTTTGATTTTATATGGCAGCTTCAAATGGCAATTTGAGTTATTAACCTATCGGGGTAGAGTCCACCCAGGTACCGTTTAAGTAGCTCTCACATCGCCAATAAACCGTGTAAATGTTATGCAGGCCCTAGAAACAGCAGTGTCTTAGCGGCCAGAAATTACCATGAAATCTAGCGCCATGAAACACCGCTAGATTAAACAGGTGATATGAAATCGGGCAGGCCAATGGGCAAGCTCTCACCAATAGACCTTTTTGCCGATACGGCGGCCATATTGAATTAATTCGATTTAAGGAGTATTATAGGATGCCCAGGGGGCATGATCACATTTCGTTTGTATTTTCGAGCGCTTTTCGGGACATTTTTGCTTTAACTTTTCTTAGAATAAGATTGTAATGGGAAAAAAGATCCTTTTGCCGTGTTTGGATGTAATAATGATCGCCTTTTTCTAGTTTAGTATTAGAAATATGGTCTTTCACTGTATATTTCTCGAGAAAAAGGCGATCATTATTACATCCAAACAAGGCACAAGCATCTTTTTTCCCTTTACAATTTTATTCTAAGAAAACTTTAAGAAAAAACGTCCCGAAAAGTGCTCGAAAATACAAACGAAATGTGCTCACGCTCCCTGGGCATCCTATAATACTCCTTAAATCGAATTAATTCAATATGGCCGCCGTATCGGTAAAAAGGTCTATTGGGAAGTTGCGAGAAATCACCCGCGAACATCACACGAAAGGAGGCGGCACGAGTGCGAGGGGCGGAGAAAGAAAGTTCCTTTTCCTCCGCCCCTCGCTCGCGCGATCTTCCGTGCTTCGCTCGGGAGATCGCCATAGATGGAGTACTTACACGCAGGCTAAAATCGGGCTTAAAATCACATAAAAAATCACTACTATAATGGCATGAAAAATTGCCGGATTGGGTTACTGGCCTTTAAGAAGCTACATGATTACCAAGGGATATGTTAAGAAAAGCTTGGAAAAGAAAAGGTAAGCTTATCCGGCGCCGCATGTTTTCTGACGGCTTCTCAATGTAGAAAGGCAAAATACATCTGGAAAACCTGGTTTGTACGCCTGCATTTGATACGTTTTTAAACCACCTTTTTCGAACTAATACTTGCGTGAAAAGGTCCTCAGCACTAAATAAATTTAATATATCTCACATTCATGGCTTTCTCCAACGTGTCTCCGGTGTCCAAAAGGTTGCCGATCAACTGCTGTGTGACGGCAAAGTTTGTTGGGAGTTGGGTGCATCGTTTGATTGAGTCTGGATTACACCCGTTCAGAAACTGATATCCAAAGAAACGGTCATCCTTCCAATGGTCTGCTGCTTTGGGTACCTCACCTATGAAACTGGTGAATGCCTACAAAGTGAATAGAAGAGTCAAATGTTTAAACACATCATCCATTTTTCTTCCAGTCTCGCGTTCGCTTTTCATTCCGTTATTCCGTCTAATTGACAGCCTGGAACAATAACAACAACAAAAGCAAGCAAAGTGTTGTGAAACTTTTAGCAAGGTACCCGTAAGTTATATATAATTTCATTGGATTTTCTTTACCCTCAGTGAGGGTTCTCATTAGCTACCTGGAGATAACATAACTTCCAGCAAAAAATTTCCGTTTTCCGCCAGAAGTCTCTCTCTTGGATATTGATCGCGTAACTGCCCTTGCTCTATCTCATTTGTGTTTGTTGTGTTCAACACCTTATATGTAGGATCCCTCGAAAAAAGTTGATTTTGTGAATCTTAATGTTTTCGTTGGGGTCTGGAACAGATAAAGAACTTTTCCTCTAGGGTGTTAAATGTTTTAGTTGTGCAAGATTTTTAAAGTGCAAAGGAAAACGTTGCACGAAAAAATTTTGGATGAATGAATGTTATTTTTATTCTTTTGTGTTGTTTTAGAATGACCATCAATCAGCGTAACTAGGAAGAACTATAGAAAATAGAAAAAAAGGGCCAGAAACAGCCACAACCAAATTAAAAATAATCAGTAGACATTACAACGTAAATCCCGACGAATAATTCATATGGTCTTAGTCTCCGTTCTTTCTTTTATTCTTTTAACTCTCTGCTAGGCGCAATTTCTACCGCTCTCCCGGGTCCGGAAGGAAATCCTCGACGGCGACGTCGAATTGTAAACTTGAGGAGAATAAAATGCACGAGTCTCACAGCAATTCTCTCCTCCGCAGAGGTTTCTGCTGTGTATTTCAATAAAAATAGCAATAATTTAAAGAATAGGAGGCGCGCAGTGGACGATGGGAAGAGGGAAAGGCTTTCCTTCCCCTCGTGCCCTGCGCTTTCTTATTCTTTCTTCCCAGTCTCCCTGCAACACAATAGGGAGCTTTAGCAACTACAACGGCGACGGCAGCGAGAACGTCGAAAAAGCAATAGGCTAGATTAGCAAAACAACTACTTTGCACGTGTAGGACACTTTTTTGTACATTTCTTTGGCGTCACTGCACGACTACGGCGTGAAAATCCCTAATCTCACGTTTTATGGAGGACGTAAACAAGCGATAACGAATTTTTCTTTCTCTTTTAAAACTTGAGTGTGGTCCCCAAGAAATCAGCTCTAGGGAAATTCGCCTATATTTGATATTTTCAGCAATTTGGAATAAACGCGATAAAGTTTAAAAAAAGCCAAGTCATTTTAAAAGTGACGTTTTCGCTGCCGTCGCCGTCGTCAGAGTGAGTCACAGCAACCAAAATACCTTGCGGTAGTCATCAAAGTCGTCCCATGAGTCAAAAATATTAAACAGATGCACAAGGCCCATGTTTATCAAAGCATTTCTCCGTGCAGCATGCAGGTCGTAGGAAGCTTCTTCAGTGAACTGTACATCTCTCGGTAGCTCTTTAACACCTGAAGCTTTTACGAAACCAGGAAGATCGGAGTAGGCTGCATCGGTCCCCCATTCATAAAGGGAACGCCTCTGCTTGAGCTCTTCTTCTCTCTGGGACTTAACAGAGCCGTGCTGTTTATCTGTAGGCAGTTTAGCTGAAATAAAACAAATCCAAAACCATCAAATTAAATAAAGAATAAGTTGGCAGTTAATGGCAGTGATTCGAAGTGATGATATTGGATCTGCAAGGGGGATGACACTTTGATGCCCTCCTTTGTTTTTCACTCTGCATCTAAAATCCATGCCAAACGGCCAATATAAATTCCTTCAGCAAAGATAGAGCAGGATATAATCATGTTTAATTCTTTCAAATAAATAAGCTGAACGTTGTTTCTGCAAAGTTCAAAGTCTTCAAACGTGACAAGTTTACATCACTGAAAAAATTATTTTTATGCTCGAGAAACAATACCAAAAAATACGGATAAGCAAATATTAGCTGTACTGAGTGTTTTGTGTCCACAATAGCCTATTTTTCTTTCTTTTCTCTAACTTGGACTGCTTAGAGCGCTTTCCATTTGTTCAGAACTGGCAGCGGCCAGACTATTCCCCGTCGAAAAGAGAATTTCACTTTTAATGAAAATTGTCCAGCCCGATCAGTTAATTGCAAAATAATCTGCATGGGGTCGATGGTTTGTAAGCGAAAACTCTTTAAAAAAGCCTATTCATTTTCGAACGGATCGGTTCGGCCGGCTTCTTCTGACTTTTGGAAAGAACCCTTAGTTCACGTTACCTGCTCCTTCGAAGATGATGGTCTCGCTTTGCACCCAGCGGTTGCATGGAAAATCATAGACGGTGTCCTTGCCTTTGATTTTGATCGTAACACGGTTTACAAACCAGTCACTGTAAAGGCCACCTTGGTCATTCTTCAGTGTCACCAACAGAAGTTCGCCAACGTCTTTGGCAGTAATCTGATACTCATCTTTTTGTCCAGCTTCAAAGTCATTGTGAAACCATTTGTCCAGGCTTAAAGCATCAGTTTCACCATTGGTACCTTATGAGAATAGACACAACTTGGTTACGACATTTCTTCTGTTTAGCCCTTAACAAGTCGGGCATAGAAAAATGGTTGACAATAGACGAAAAAACTTCACTGAAAAGAAAGCAGAAACCTGTTTTACATAGACTGTGTTGCGTTTGACATTTCACCAACACACAACAGATATGTCATTTTGATATCAAGACAATCGTATATATTCGTTCGGATTCGTCTCGAACGACCCGAATCGACTCATACTCCACTAGCCGCCTCAGCACCAGAGAATGGTGCCGGTTCTAACAGCGTGTGTGTGTGTGTGTGTGTGTTCTGCCCACAGACAGGTCCTTCCTTATAGTTCTCGATCTAGGGCACACCCCTTGAACGCTACGTAAGGGCTGTCATCCTTCACTCTATCCAGCATTCCCGCTCGAGGTCTTCCAGATGGTCTCCTTCCTATTACTCTTCTCTCAGTAACTAATAGGACAAGATCACCATGTCGTAGGGTATGACCATTGACCAAGCCAGACTCTGTCTTCTGTTGATAACAGATATGATGGCCCTCTCCTCACCATTACGCCTCAATACGTCTTCGTTACAGACTTTGTCAGACCAAGAAATGTTTAATTTTTCACCAAAGCCACTTCTCACAGCTCTCCAACCTTCGCACGTCCTAAGAGAGTACATGAAGCAATTTATAGCACTAGGATCAATACCTTTGATAATGAGAGATACCGAGGCGTCTGTCCCAGCTCCCTTTCTGCTTCCTGTGACAACAGTGATCAGATATTCTGACGTCATCTTAGATCCTTAAAGAAAAAACAACTCCAATCAGTTACAACAAAGGCAAACGGACATCATCTTCTTAGATCTCTCTAAGGCTTTCGACAGCGTGCCACATGAGCGTTTGTTGCTGAAACTACAACGTGTTAAGGGGCAATTGTTCAGATTGGTCACCCGTGATTTCAGGCGTACCTCAAGGAACAATACTACTCGGCCCAATCTTATTTATCATTGATATAAATGATATTATTAACAGTCAAAATCTACGCTTATGATTTTTTTAAATAAATATTACAAAGATTATCGTATAAATCTTGCAAGAAGGGCTTATTATTAAAAGCGAGAGCTTGGACAAACAAGCTACTAATTACCATATAAATTGCGAAAGTCAACATGTTAGGCAAGGAATTCAAATCATGGCGATCCCGATACCCTGTCTCTCTGCGCAGCTTGAAAATAACTAGAGCAAAACTCATGCAGCTGTTTCACTCTAAATCTCTTCTGAATTGTTCTTTTTTGTTTTTTTTTAAAATTCTTCCTTTAGGGTTGCTAGATCTTGTGATATTTCGTAATTTGACGATACATTGTTTGTAAGATAGCTCTCAGCCAGATCGATCAGAAATTTAACAACAAACCTTTTCGTTTAGCAGGGAGCCAAAAGCGCCTGATATGAAAGAGGAAGCGTTTCATAGTTTTGATTGGTACTGGAAATAATGAGACCGATCTCTATATCATAAAAGAAAATGCTGAGATAAATGTTTAACAGCAAACCTTGGGCTCGTTTAGCAGGGAGGAAAAAACGCCTGAGTCGTTCCATAGTTCTAAAAATGGTGATAATTCACAGAAGAACCTTGACATGAACTATCGGTCGCTTGAGCATTATTTTTCAACAGCAGAATGTTAAACGATGAGGCGCCAATAGCAGTTTTAGATCCTTTGGCTACATGTAAATTTGCGACCTCTAGCAACAGCCTTGACAACACTAAGAAAAACGTCAGTCGCTTAGAAAATAGTTCGAGCGCTTGAAATATGCCTTAATTTTAAAACGTTTGAACTGTCCTCACACGGCCTTGAAAAGAGCTAAATACTTACGAGAAAAAGAGAAATTTTTACCTCACTAGATATTTGCTTGAACAAGAGAGAATGAGGAATACTTGTGCAGTTTGTGATATTTGTTCCGTACGGCTATGCTGCGCTGAAAGGCTACTGAGAGTTGTCTGTTGTTTCCATGACAGTGAGGTCTACTTTCATGACGTGAACATGATCTTTCTATTTCTGTCTTGACAGGAATTAGTTCATCCGGTATAAGAAGCATAGAAGAACTTATCAAATAAAGTGACACCTGAGTGCCGAAGTTTCTTCTGCCCGTCTCAGTGGGTTCCAGTCCTCGCTCCTATTCATTCACTTGCGTTATTGTTGGGGCGCCTTGACCGCTTGCTGGCTTGTTTTCGACTGAGTCCGAGTACGTTCAACTTCTCGTGCACGCTTGTAACTGGCCAACTGGTTTTTGCGTCCGGCCAGTTGAAATTCAGTGTTATGTCATTTCAATTATTTCTTTCTGTCGCCCTCGTTGGGCCACAGTGCAAATTTCTGGGTTACTAGTAATTGGCCCTGGGGTAATTGGCAGAGAAATTGTGTTACCCAATAAAAGTCAGCTTTTTATGCGGTGTCAACTCGACATGTAACTCGATTCCAATGGCATCTGGTCAGTTACCCTGGGTACCAGATGTTTTTCTCGCTTGCGGCGGGAATTTTCGGTGTTGGCCGAAGGCCGAAGCCACGAGCGGCGAAGCCGCGAGGAAAACTTTTCGCTTTTTCGTCAGAAGCGAAAGTTCGCAATTTGATTGCCGAAATTCGCGTAATTTCGCTTATTTCGGCAAATTTCGTTTGCATTTCTTTTGCGCAGTACTGTAGGTCACTATAAAGACTTGACAGAAACCGGAAACCGCACTAGAAAAGTCTCTGGCACCCAGGGTACCGGTCAGTCATAAGCTATACAAAAATTAATGCAAAGTTAGAAATGTTTTAAGGAAGCACTTTTAACCTGCATGGAGGAAGTTTTTTTTGTATGTACATGGTGTTTCTAAGAATAAAGCCAGAGAGCCGGTGTAATTCGAGTCTGTTTGCTCCAATTCAAAATGGATTTAAGGTGATGTTAAATGGAAATATTCGCGACGACGAGTTTTAGCGCAACGTAGCGTTGCAATGAGGGAACAAAGTTGTAAATATTCGAAACAACCTCGCAACAATGTTGCAACACCGTGCTGCGCTAATTTCGTCGTTGCGAATCGTCTCGTGTAACGTCACCTTTAAACTAGCTCGAAAAGGCTCTAATCCGGGGCTCTCTAACCTTCGTCGCAGCTAGTCAGGCTCGTGTGCTAAGCAAAAGTAGTAATAGTTGTTCAGGATATTTTTTTTTTTGAAAAGATTTTATCTACATGTAGGAGATTTATAGCATTTTTAAATTCTACATCATTACCTTCCAACCTCTATATAAAATCCTCGACACAATGATTACAAAATTACAAACCTGAAATTAAAACTGGAAACTTGTGTCTGATAAACTCGCAACATTTATGCATGTCTCCTGATCAAATCTAGGCAGTTATGTTCTTTTGATATAAAACAACAAAGTGGTGTCGCTGTTTTCTATTCACTACTTAAGAGAATAGATGCTGTTTTTTAACAGGTGCTGCATTTTATTTTATTTACCTTTGTAACGTTCCAATATTATATATAAAGACAACGATCGGCTGGATCGGGCAATTTGCATTTAAGTGCTATTCTTCGTGGAAGTGAGTCTCGCTGCTGTTGAAGTAACTTGGGGTTTTAAAAGCTATTTTATGGCAAAAACGGATCCTGTTTTAACACCTTACCGTAAAGTGAATGTCACAATGCATTCTTTTTCAAAAATACTGTCTTCTACTTTTTCAACAGCTCCTACTATCGTCAGGTGACGTGACAGATGCGAGACTTTGGATGAGGCTGTACTGCTGTACGTGTTCATTGTTGGCGGTTAATTCTCACTACCGAGTTCCTTCGGCTATCTCTAATTCACTTTATTACTTCACATGTTCGGAATGCAAGGCCCTCCGATCCTGGATGAGTTCCCAAAGCTCTCACTACTAAACTTTCAACAATTCTTGGTGTTGAAGAATATTTTTTGTAATTATATTAGATACTATTGTAAAAGACTTAATGCTTTCAAATGGTGATACTAATTTCTTTGTAGCTGGTTAATTAGTTTTATAATAGCATATAGTGTTTTGTTTAATTGCTACGAGCAGGTGACGTCCAAGCTACGAATAAATACAACTACTAAATAGTTGGAACACATTCAGGCTTCTGTTTACGTTTTGCTAATTACATTTAACGAGAGGCAATTGAAAGTGAATATATCTCTTTAACTCTTGCTTTGTCATGCCAGGCTTACCGCCGTTACTACGGAGGCCACGTGACTCGAGAGCATCCTCTCCCCAGTTTCCTTCGGTTTGTGATTTTCGTTCAGCAATCTGCCTCGCTGCTCTTGTTATGGAGTCATCCTACCTCGTATCACTGGTATAGGCGGTAAGTTTATCTCCAAAATCGAGATGAATGAGGTTCTATCATTTTGAGTTGTTCCACTTTTATACCACAACCCTGAGCTGAAATTAACCTAGGTTTTCTCAGTCATCTATTTCCAAAATAAGAACTCTGAGAGAAAGATTGAGGCGATTCACTAAAAGCGAAAGAAAGTGCAGGGAAAATTCTGGGTATTTTTTTCAGCCCAGAACGGCAAGAGTTTAATTTGAGATGGCCCATTTTTTCCATGAAGTTGTCATGATCGACAAAATCGACAGCCGAAAGACACGTACTTTAAGTTTGGGTGGAGTATATTATTCTATTATTTCCTTTGTTCGTGTGTGTGTACATGTGTTTTTTAATCCAGTGTGATTTTAGAGTTTTGAAACAAGATCGTGGGAACATTACTTTAAGACCTGCCATTTTTAGCTACGCCGAAGGTGAAAAGAGAAGTTTTTAAAAGGTGTTTCGATACAGCTTTTTTGGAGTTCATACCGATATTTTTCAATCGCATTAAAAGTAATTTTATCCTTGTCCGATCGATATAAAATTTTCTGACCACTGACTGACTTTCGACAGTGAAGTTTGTCAAAATGCAGTTTTAAGTAAAATCGATATTACTTTGACGACAATAAGCAAAAAAACATTGATGTCAATAAAAGAACACTCGACCGCCCATTTCCGTATCTTATGGATTGCTTTTAAAACCTTTTTCAGAACAAAGTAGCGAAGCATATACGAATGTCTCCATCAGATTATCGGTATTGTAGCTTTTGTCATTGCATCACAAACATGCCTATAAATGCTTATCAACTTGGCTCAAAACAATTGTCCATAAGATTGCTCTGTCTTTCGGTCAGTGCCAACACCTTTACCGACATATATCGGGTGGGAATATTTTATCAGGTCATATCCCTTTTAATCTTCGTTCACCCACCATACGAAAACTGCTTCATGATCAGTGTTGTTTACCTTTCGTACAGCACGCTTGCAACTCTAAAACCATTTTTTAAGGACATTACAATCGATGCAAAACTCACAACCAAATCTGCGTTGTTGCGAAATGAGGGAACCTTGGCGTTTGTGAAAAGACTTCTACGTACGGCTAGCTACTTCAAATTGTTCAAGGAGAAAAAAACTTTGCTGGTGGAATGACAACACTATCTCATTTCTGAAGAACTCGTCAGCTGTGAATTAAAGATCAGGGACTTCTTTGTCTTCGTATTAAGGTATCATCCACCCTCAAGCACCCTCCCCTCGTTGATCGGCGCTAGCGCTTTTGCTTTTAAGAAATACCCCCATAAACAGTACATTTTCTGAAAGCTTAATAGGTCCAGATTATTGCTTATTCCTTTTAAAAAATGAAAATATTAACGCGATTCAGAAATGAGAAGCTTTTTTTCAGGGATAGCAAATCATTAGCACTATATCTACCTGTGAAAAAACACTCTTACTCGAAAACGAAAAAAGAAATCAAAATTCGCAGACATGGTTTTTTTAAAAAAACTATACGACAGGAAGTTGGCCAAAATTTGTCCAGTAAGTTATAGTAGTAAGTTGGCCAAATTTCAGCCAAATTGGTTCACGGGTTGCCGACTTGGAGTTTAAAACGTACCCTCAACTTGCCCTGATTTTCATTTCAAGAAGACAGGGGAAAAAGATTTCTGGCGGTGTATTACCCGTGACATGAGGATCCGCAAGCGACTTTTTTTTGCGATCAGCATGATTTCTTAGTTGCTACGGACGCTTTGTTTTCAAAAGGTGACAAGAGAATTTCCTGCTGTGAGAATTTAATTAGTACATTAATTTCTGGCCAAAAAACGTAATCCGATAAGGTGTCAACCCTGTCATATGCCACTACAGTGGTAAGGTAGTTTCGAAAACGAAGCACTCGAAAACGAAGATCGAAGCACGAAGCACCCAAATCTCGAAAACGAAGCACCCAAAACTCGAAAACGAAGACCCCTAGATCGAAAACGAAGCACCCTATCTCGAAAACGAAGCACCCTAGATCGAAAACGAAGACCCCAAGATCTCGAAAACGAAGCACCCAAAACTCGAAAACGAAGCACCCAAAACTCGAAAACGAAGACCCCTAAATCTCGAAAACGAAGCACTCAAAACTCGAAACCACTGTAGGTTTAATAAGTGCAACTTTACGTCTTACATGACGCAATCCGAATCAGGTGGAGGCAGCGGATGCGTCCGCACCTCCAAAGGTCCACAAAATCCATCCCAAGGTTTTATAACCAACTGTTTCACTGAACGTTTCTAAATAGGATATCCTGTATTAATTTTATTATTAGTCCCGCTATACTTGATACCTCTCTTGTTGATACATCTTACCTTAATATGCATTTTTTCGGTACACGTACATGTTTATGTAGTCTTCAAAGCTGTCCGTCAGCAGATTTTGGCGTATTCAAGTACGCGTGAGCAGTAACACAAAAGGTCTGAAACGAGGCTGAAAACGGAGTGTGACAGGCTTGCCCGTATTACTCTTACGCCACGCTTTACCGACTTCTTTACTGATTTTGAGAAAAAAACCGATTGTTTTGCAGTCTAACATATTGGGTATCTATGACACTGCGTGATCAGATCAGATCAGATCCAGGCAGAATTTGTTCTAGGGTAATAGCCTGGGACCAGGCTCTATGGTGGGGAAAAGGAGAATTCGATTCGTTATCGTGCTTGATTCCTGCTGTAATAGCATTGGTCTCGTGTTTATAAAGGACAGACCGGTTTCGAGTTTTTGGGTGCTTCGTTTTCGATCTAGGGTGCTTCGTTTTCGAGTTTTGGGTGCTTCGTTTTCGAGATTTAGGGGTCTTCGTTTTCGAGTTTTGGGTGCTTCGTTTTCGATCTAGGGGGCTTCGTTTTCGAGTTTTGGGTGCTTCGTTTTCGAGATTTGGGCGCTTCGTTTTCGAGTTTTGGGTGCTTCGTTTTCGAGATTTGGGTGCTTCGTGCTTCGGTCTTCGTTTTCGAGTGCTTCGTTTTCGAAACTACCCCTTCCGTTGGCAAAATAAATATTGTACTAAAACATTTTGCGTTAACCTTCGCAAACTGACTAAAGAATTCTATGTAAGATTTGGTTTCGGAATAATTGTTACGGCGTGCATTTAGTTTTCCTCGCTTTTAGCCAAATATTTCACTCACAAGAAAAATAGTTTTTAACTCGGCATTTGCAGCTCACACGCAAAATTGTTCACGCGTTTTACTCGCCGTTTGTCGCGGCTTGCTTTGAAAGGTCCCACGAGTTTTTTTCTGTGTTTCCATTGAGTGCAATGAATCAGATTTCTAATTAATTTGGTTAAGCTGTCAAACGATGACTTGTAAATAAAATGAAACATTCAGTCTTGATGATTTAGAGAGGATCGTATTCTATGAGTTGTCAACACGTCTTTTGTTTTACATTGCGCAATCGGTCATTTCAGATGACCGACTTCGCAGGGGTCTTGCGGGTCCTCATGAGACTGTAACAACACCAAAGCTGTCAATGTTGATGCATACCAGAAAAGGGACAACAATAGCGACACAGCAGGAAAAGGTTACAAACAAAACCCGACAACAGATGAACTATTTATTTCAAAGGCTCTTCTCTCTTCTGTTGTCGAGAAAGCATCTTTAGTTATTTGCGACGGGCAGTTTTCATTTTGAGCCAAGCCAACTTTTACTCGATACATTTTCTAAAAGTTCGACACTTCCCTGAAAAAATCGACAACAAACCGCTCCCTGGAGTTTTTCTTGAAGCTGCTCTGACGCGCTAATAGACTTTCAAAAAAGTCCTTCGTCTGATTTTTATATGGCGCGGGACCTGTCGCGAATTTGTCGCTCGCTTGGCCGCTTCGCGACCTAAAAAGCTCGCTCCGCTCGCTAAGAAACTCGTGAAACTCGATTTCGAGGTAGTTTCAATAGGTTTTTCAGAAGCTTTGTCATTTTTTAGCTATTTTTCTTGATTGTAGTAGGAGCCCTTGTCGCTCTCTGCTAATTTCGAAGCCCACACTTTGCAAAACGATTTTGTCGCCTTCTTTCGTCTTGGAGTCGAGGACGAAAACGGACAAGCTCTTTTTTCTTCTTTGGAGGCATTCACTTCCGAAATCCAGGGAAAAACAGTGAGCACTATACAACAGCGGCATGCGTATCAAATATGACAGGACTCGTCAACGATCAATTAAAATAATTAGCATAGAAAAAACTTTTGCGCTCCATAAGTCTGCACAGAAAAAACATTTTTTCCTGGAATCTTTTTTTAAAAGAAAGGTCTTGATTAGCTCTACTTAATCATCTAAAAATTGAAAATTTTTGAAAAATGATGATTTTTTACCCTGGATAATACCTTAACTAAATAATACAGTGTATCAGTCACTTATACAAATGAATAATTAGTACAACTCGCAAACCTAAATGGGTTCTACATTTACAGTTGTACATTTTTATCGGCTCAATTCCGAACCCTTTAGCCTTTTTTGCAGTCTGCTTCAGTTAGAGAAATCCGGTTCAGTGTTTGAATGATGGTAATAAACTATACGGTTTTAGTTTGTGGTCGAGTAGAGTCAGTCAAGGCGTTTACCCGGATAAATTACAAATTCAGTTTTAAATTCTTAATGCAATACAAACAAAATGAACTCGACAGCCGTGACACAACCCATTTAACTCTGTTTTTGCAGAGGTGTTATTTTCAACTCTATTGCATTGGGAATTCGAATGTTTTGTTATAAAACTTCGCGAGTTTTCATCAGAGGAAATGATCGAACATTAATTAAGCGATTGTGCAATGTATTCAAGCATGACTGTCGGGCAGTAAGGCTCGAAAAAGTGCCACTGGATCAGAGAAAACCTGTGATTTTGCTGCTGCAAGCTGACCAAAATTTTATTTCATAATCATAAAAGAACTTCATCTATCCTGATTTTTCTGTATTAAGGTGAAAAAAAAAATTAAAATCAATTTCTTTCGCAATACGGACAAATCTTCAGACAATAGAACGGATAAGGCACAATTACCTTCATTAAACGTTGATGAACATACCCTTTTCAACGTGATTTTCTTAACGAGTTACGAACATATCAATGAATATTATATTACAGAGTATTGCGACTTCTCTCTTAAAAATTTCAGTTTGCTTTTCCAAGTATCCGACGCTGAAAACTCGAAATTCTACCAAAACAATGTATGCACTTATTAACATTATATTTGCCACACAGATTTTTTTTTTTTACTTTTTCCACAATGTTGCATATTTAGTTGACGAGTTTTCAATATTGCCACGGACTGTGAAATCTTTAGCTGATATCTGTTCATCTTCATTACCATTCATGCGAAACAAAATGCAATATCCTATATCCAATATGTACACGTTGCGAAATACTGTACAGTGGCGTAGATAGCAGAAAAGAACGAACTCCCCCGAGAACTATGGCTGGAAGACTAGGCAAAGTGTGCAATTTATACTTTGAAATACTGAAAATACTCCGATGTTTAAAAACATCCACCACAACGCGCAAAATTGACTTCTTTTGGATGCACTGAATTTACCTACGTGCTCACCCCAGACGCTACTTGAGCTTTTTGCACGTACAACATTGAGAAACGTTGCACGCGACAATATTTTTTATGTATGCGACTTATATTTCAGAGATATATTGTTAAAAACAAACTTGAAAGGTTAGCTACTGCAAGTACAGACGTCTTAACTTATAACATACCGTTTAGCCGTCTTGCAACTGGCTGCAGTACGAAACTCTGGTTGTATCGCCTTCACTTGACCTTGAAAGCAGTATGTTGATGTTGTTCAGTCGAGGGTGTGTTCGTCCAGGATTTTGAGGATTACGTGGAATGCTTTGAATACGGTCCTTTGTTTGCCCTTGGGACCACGTGCTCACCCCAGACGCTACTTGAGCTTTTTGCACGTTCAACATTAAGAAACGTTGCACTCGACAATATTTTTCATGTATGCTTCTTATATTGTTAAAAAACAAACTTGAAGGCTAGCTACTGCAAGTATAGACGTCTTAACTTATAACATACCGTTTAGCCGTCTTGCAACTGGCTGCAGTACGAAACTCTGGTTGTATGTTAATGTTGTTCAGTCGAGGGCGTGTTAGTCCAGGATCAGGATTTTGAGAATTACGTGGAATCCGGCGTGGAATGCTTTGAATATGGTCCTTAGTTTGCCCTTGGGATTGAGTCGATGCTTAACCGAATGGCACTCTGGGATCGTTTTAGCGACGAATTTTGACCCAGTTGCCCGTGCAACCTTGTGATAGGAAATAAAAATGATGGTCTGTGGTAGAGTATCTAGGGGTGGTCGGACCAGTCACTTTTGACAATGAAATATTTGTTTCATATTTTCTCGAAAATTTTACTAAAACTAATCACTGCCGTGCATCTTATTGATAAACTGATCTGGCTTGACAATCCTGGCCCCAGTTGTTCAAAAGGTTGATAACGCTTGGATACCGCTATCCACTGGATAAATCTCTATCCACTGAATAGCTAGTCTCCCTCGCAGCCGTTTTTAGTATCGTCACGCAACGCTCCTCCCTCTCGTTGCGTGACGATACTAAAAACGGCTGCGAGGGAGACTACTGAATAGCGCAACTGGTTTCGTTAATACTTATTCACTGGATAGTGATTTGTCGGGTGGATAGCCCTATCTAACGTTTGAACAACCCGGGTCTGGTCAATAGTGGAATTCTCCTTACGACTGGACTGGTTTGGCCAGCAAGTTCTGGTAAAATTAATGGTAAGCGTCCAAGATGTGAGGTCGGACACTCCATGAGGTTTAAACAACGTAGTATTCGTTATCGCCTTTCTAAAAAGAAGAGGAAAAGGATATTTGGTAGAAAATTAGGATCAATTTAGGTTTCTGGGAAACTGTTCACCTACTCCTCCCCTAACTCATCATTTTGCCTTAAGTGAGCAGTAAGTGTAAATGTTGACTTAGGGGAGGGGTAGGTGGGTAATTTCTCAGAAACCTAAAGAAATGTAGTAAACCGTGATCAAGGCCTCACTTTGGTGTTTCCGCTTTTACGATAAGGTTTCCTCAGTGTACAGGGTTCATGAGGTGTCAGACCTCCTTCTCAGCTGTAGAATTTAGACCCCCAACTGATTGAGTTGCTAGTTTTTGTTGGGTACGTTTTTTTCAACCTTTTTGTTTTGAAGATTCGAATTCATTGTTGTGAACCTGGTTGTGATGATGACATTATTTAGCTTATCTTAACTTCGCTATACAGAGGCAATATCAGCCGCCGTTAGGCGGCTATGACGGATTCGAGAATGCCTTTGTTTTTAGAACATTACCTCTTGTTCAAGGATAATCATTCCCCATGCAAGTCTACATCTTGCGCGCTTTCGCTATGAACTTGAGGGGTCTGCGGGCAGTCCTATCTTATGAGACCATGTCTGCAAGAGACCCTTGTTCTGGATGTAAACACATACAAACTCACGCGTTTCTGACTAACAAACGATCGTCTTCTCTGAGGAGCAGAATACCTGTTAATGATGATCTGACTAACTTGACTTACTTGACTGTGAAGTATGCCATAGCAAGTACGTTTTTATGCGTTTAAAAACTCCGATTGACCAGCATTAAAATAGGATATAACTACCAAGTCTTTTGGTACTGTTTGCAGGAGAGCTGTGAACTCTCACGCAGGATACCCAAGCTTATCACGCCGACCTGGGCGTAAAGGTCTGTGTACTAGTTGAATAAATCGTAAAATGGCTTGTTCTGTCTACCAGCAATGTTTGAGTGTAAGAATCTGCTCAAAATCCTGCTTGCACCTCTATATCAGTGTGCTCGAATTGTGCTAGACTGCAAAACAGTCGGTTTTTTTCTCAAAATCAGTAAAGAAATCGGTAAAGCGTGGCGTAAGAGTCTTGCGTGCGCGAAGCGCGCGAGCGAGCTCGCTCTATGTTTTCAGCCTTGTTCCAGACCTTTTGTTTGACTGCTCGCACGTACTTGAATACGCAAAAATACGGACTGTTTTGCAGTCTAGAATTGTGCTCGATACCACGAAAATTCATCTGTTTGCATAGCCGAGCGTGGGTACATTACCGGAGACATCCCCTGACTCTCCCCTCCCCTCTCTCTATCCGAGTTTGTTTGACTTGAGGGGCGGCTGTAAACAAGCTATATTTGCAAATATAAAAGGCAATCTGAGTTTAACCTTATAAATAATCATTGTTGATAGCAAAATTAAACAAACTTTGTCATGATAATTTCAGTCATATATAAATGATAACCGTGACTTTTTGTATTTAGTGTACCATTCCTGCCACAACTTCGATACAACTGTTATGCATATCCGATAAGTGATACTAATTTTCTATTATTCTGCTCATTCAAATTATGCTTAAAAGATTGTTTATGTATTGCGGTTTTTATAGCGGAGCTCCACGTGCGCGGCTGGAGCCCCATAGCTTAGTAAATCTACCCATCCCAGAAAATTTGGTAATCACGTGACCGTACACCGACCCACCGACCGCCCGCCCGACCGTCCGTCCGCACCACAGGAAAACCAATGTTTACTTTCACACTTTCTAACTACTTTGGGAGTCCTGGAGGAAAGGTGGTGCCGAAATTATACAATCCAAAAGGACAGCCGAGGAGTACTAGGAACGAGTTTCCGATTCGGGCCGACTTCGGAAATTCTCGAAAACATCCAATATGGCGGCTCAAGCGTGGTGCAAACTGACAGCCAAAGGAGCCGTTTTATCGCCAGAGAAGCGTGATTTACGGTATTGTTGACGAAGTTTGCGTTTATTGTGAGTTTTGAAGTGTTCTTGGTCCTGTATAGCAAGCAATCCTTCTATAAGTGTCTTATCAATTGGTCTTGTCCCGCTGGCCGGTATTACCGAAGAAAATACTACCGGCCAAAGGGCATCCCAAATTATAGCAACATTTGTTGGCATGTACATCACCTCTAGCTTCCATTGTTAAACTGTGTTGTAGGACTGGATTTCTGCAGGTTTCTACAAGCTTAGGATAACTCTATGGGTACCTTTTTATTCATAAAAGTAGCCCTGTCCTTTTGGCCAGTATTATCCAAGAAAATAGTACCGTCCAACGGGACATCCTGAGTTTTAGCAACATTTGTTAGCAGTTATATCATATCTGAGTTTTTTTCTGTGTTAAACGGTGTTGTAGAACCTGATTTCTGTGGGTTTGTACAAGCTTAGGATAACTGTATTGGAATATTTTTATTCATAAAAGTGGCCCTGTCCTTATGGTCGGTATTACCGAAGAAAATAGTACCGTCCAGCGAGACATCCTGAGTTTTAGCAACATTTGTTAGGAGGTATAGCTGGTTTTTTATTGTTTTCAAGGTGATTCTTTAGGTCTCCAAAAGGTTAGGGTAACTAAAAAGGAGTGCTTTTTTTTTCGTAAAAAATGCCTTGTCCTTTTGGCCTGTATTATCTAAGGAAATAGCACCGCCTAGCAGGACATCCTAAACTATGTCAGCAATTGCTTGCATGTATTACTACATGACACGCAGCTTGTTGTTGTTACATTGTAATACATACCTTGCCCTCTGAAGGCTTTTTCCTACCAGCTGGGGACAGCTGAACAAAGATAGTTTTATTCATTCCTTGTTGTTGCTATCACCGAAGAATGTCCACTCTGGGGACACTCTATAGGGAGTGCTCAGGTGACACAATGATGGGGAAGTGCAAAACCCTTTTTCTGGTTTGACATGTGAAATCCAAGGATAACCAAACAGGAGTGGTTTTTATTCTTGAAAATTATCTAGCCCTTTTGAATGGTATAAGCTAAGAAAATAGTACAACCCAGCAGGACGTCCTAAATTTGCTCAGCAAGCTTGTGTTTAATTTTTCATGGTTTGTCTCACTTGAAAGTGTTTTGAAAGTTAGGTTTTTATCTCAGGTAATTTTTGTTTTTCTTTTGTTTTGGGATATGGTAATGAATGCTAATGACGTTGAAACAAATGAAAAATAAAAATTACCTGAGATAAAATAATTTCCTCGTTAGATTTCTTGTGTTACTTAATTATTACGGAGCACGACGAGTTTGGAGTTGCTTTCAAGCTTTATTTTCAGGTGTATTTTCTCCACTCATCAACAATAATTGGTAGTCATGTAGTAATACATGCAAGCAACTGCTGACATAGTTCAGGATGTCCTGCTAGGCGGTACTATTTTCTTAGATAAGACAGGCCAAAAGGACAAGGCATTTTTTACGAAAACAAAAAACACTCCTGTTTAGTTACCCTGGCCTTTTGGAGACCTAAAGAATCACCGTTTAGCAATAAAAACCCAGATATGATATACCTCCTAACAAATGTTGCTAAAACTCAGGATGTCCCGCTGGACGGTACCATTTTCTCCGATAATACCGGTCAAAAGGACAGGGCCACTTTTATGAATAAAAATATTCCTATACAGTTATCCTAAGCTTTCTCTATCTAATCTCCAAGCAAGCGAGACTGAATGTGCTGTAAGCGCGTTCTTGTCTTTTATTAAATCATGGCATGACGTTAATGTCTCTAAATAAAGGCCCCGAGGGGGTGTCTCATTTTTTCTCTAGGATTACTCTGGCGCATCGTTTCTGTAAATTGATTACCTCTTGGACGGGCGGCTTCGGTTTGCTTCATGTCCCCAAGTAACCCCCGTAGTCAAGTATTAGCTGGATAAGTGAGTTGTAAAACAAACTTCTCAGCTTTCAGTCACAGAAATTTATCTGTTCTTTTCAAGAGGCCAAGTCGCTTTCCTATATTCGATACCGTTATTTAAAACAGTTGTCTCTCTTTATGCCAGGTAGTTTAGTATCGGCTACAGAATCAAGCTGAACCTCAACTGTTCTCACATTAAGATTTCTGCCGTTCAAGCAGTTAGCCCCAAACTTATGCTGTAGACAATCGCTTGCAGGGACGAGAATCATCAGCAAACGCAAACGCAAACACAACTTACATATGAGCTTCTGGGAACGAAAACTCGAACTTACCCTATGGCTATGTGGAAGACAAGCTCCGAGCACTAGCCTAATCACCAATTAACCGACTGCTGCTTCAGCCACGAACACTGAGATACACTTTAGAAAATGGAAGTAGTTGATTATGTAACTGAAAAGGAAGCAGCGTACTTACCACGGAAACTGCGAGGTACTGTTCTCTGTGACGCAACCAGCAGTCAAATGAATGTTATGCTGCTTGTTAGCTCTAATCAATGGTCAATTTTCTGTACGAGTCATAGAACCGTGAAATCTCGACATTTTGACACTTTTCCAATCGTGAGGTAAGGAACCGTTCACCCGCTAGATCATTCGTTGTGTTGACATTTGCTTGAAAGAACTCTCTTTGATCCTAGCGCACTTGTAAAATGTATTAAACATAAGAAGGCAGTCTTTGCCAAATCATTGACATCGTATCAGAAGATTATAGTTTTTGTTTGATATTAGTCAAAAGTAAATCAACTGCGGTAAAGATACAGTCCAGTTCAGAACATCAGGTTAAATTTTGAAAGCTATTCCCGGCGTTGTTTAGCATTGGTCACCCAGTGACGGCCCTTACATAATGGAGACCGCAAGAAAAGGATGGACGGTTTTGAGTATTTTTAGAGTCGGGGGTATTCATTTTTAGTGTCTATTAAAAGCCATCTGTGCATGATTTTAAAAAAAAGCCATCGTTTATGATTTTTCCAAAAAACTGTTATCATTACATAGTTTGGAAATGAATAAACTGACGATGATTGGCGAGATTTAGCATTTTAGACCAGACGTCATATTCCAATGTTCAGTTTAGAAAAAGACACGTCATTCATGTTCACTGAACTGGGAATGGACCCGAATGACGCCGGTGTTTTGTAGGAATAAACTTCCTTCGTGGAAACAATCATACCGCTGGGCCGAAAAGTCCCATGTACATATTTACTGAACGACTTGCCGTTTCATTGACTTATTCTAGTTTTGGCTTTAAACTAGGGGTTTTTCTTACTTATAATTCCGAGTAGATTGGCATCTCTGCGGTAGCAGTCACCTGAGTTTGACTTTTGGGAACCAGTTGCATAAATCTCAAACGCGAGACACACCAGCTAATCCGTATTTCAAACTGAAGTACAAATTATTAGCTACAAATGCTCTACTTTTTTCACCACTCTTATATAATTCTATCTCGTTCCAAATGCGTACACTTCTTCAGTTTTCAAAGAACTGACAAAAGTAAATAGAAATAATTTCTATTCTGTTGAAAAACGACTCTTCTTACCTTTAATACGCCGATGGAATGCAGACGAAAGCGGGTTTGAAGCGATCAAAGAAGGACTAAATTCCCTCCAACTACTAGAAAATATAGCGGGAAGCGGCCAGAGAAGTCAGAAAAAGCGTTTCGTCGTGCGGAGAAGATCTGGAAAAGGTACTTGGTCCTGGATTACTGAATTGGGGATTAAAATGAGGGATTCGTTCGAGAAGCAATATCGTATGATTTCCTGACGGTGGCGGATGACCGTCGAGTCAGAAACTCGGGAATTCACGTAGTTGTTGATTATGTAAGCTTAAATTATTTTTATTAAGGGTCGCTGACTGGATTTAGCCCGAACGGTGATGCTCTTCAGCCCTTTTCAATTTTCTAAACATCGGCCGAGACTTGGTAAGTCTATTTTGTGTTCCTTTGTATCATCTTCAAATGGATACCTATTATCATTTTAGCGAAAAAACGTTTTAAGGTCGACACTGATCACTCGATCATTTCATAAATTCTCAATAACTGCTAATGATGTGAAAGTGTAATGTTCACGGAGAATGTTGATGGAGATCACTATTTCTTAAGCCTGATCGCAAACAGTTCATTCAGTCAGAGTTCAGTTTTTAAGTGTGGATCGTAGTGGATATTTTCAATTTTATCGAATCCCTTTTAAGAAAACAGTAAAATTTATTTTGCCAAAGCCAGTGGCTATGAACTGTCAGTAAAAGTGAGTAAAATTTCATAAACCAAAAATTGATTTACGGATTAAAGCTTTATTTAATTTTGCACTGACTGGATTCAGCTGTACGTTGATGCTCTTCAGTCCTTCTCAATTTTCTAAACCTCAGCCGAAGCGGGGTAAGTCTATTTTTATTTTAGCACCAAAACGTACCCGTGTTAAGATCGACACCGATCATTCGATCATTTTATAAATTGTCAATAACTGCTAATTGTGTGAAAGTGTAATGTTCATGGAGAATGTTGATGGAGATCACTATTTCTTAAGCCTGATCGCACTGAAACAGCTCAGTTCAGTCACTGTTCAGCTTTTAAGTGTGGATCGTAGTGGATATTTTTACACTGATTAAATCTGTGAAGTTAATTGTTTTAAGGGTATGAGGAGTGCAACCACATGAATCAGGTATTTTTAGTAAACAGAGTAATTGCACTTTTAATTTGAGCTTTGGTCAAACTCAGGTGGTTGTGAGTTTTAGGTTTGATGCTTAGACTATCTTGTTTGTGTTTTTGCGGTGACTCGAATCTCGATTTGAAATGCCTGTATTTGATCTTTTTTAAAGTTTAATGATGAGAATTTGTGCTTTAATTGAACTCGAGTATTTTTCTTATGTCATGCATGATTTAAAGGTACTTGAAGTTATTCATAACTTGTGATCAATAATAGATGGTATAATTGTTAAGAACTTCCTTGAATGCATGTTAGTGTTGTTGAGAGAAGATGGTGATGACCAGCCTTTAATTTTACAAACAAAACTAATCCTAAAGGAAACATTGACGATAGTGCATGTCCAGCATTAAAGGGACTGTGTCACGATAGCGCGCATGCGTGAGCTGTGACAGTAGCTGATTGTCTTTGAACCAATCGGAAGCGAGTAACATGCACGCGAGGAAATTTACATAATTCAAGATTCATTGTTCGCGAAGCGCGAGTCTTCCGGACGTTTTTGTTCGATTTTATATATCCCCATAATTCATATTTATTCTCTGGTATTCCTCAGATAAATGTTGCAGCTGATAAGAATAAGATTAACAACCCTGTCCTGCTTTGAAACAAACATTTAGGTCTGTATGATAAATAGTACTGTTTCACCTCAGATGTGATGTATTAAAAGTATAAAAGGTTGGTTTACACACCCCCGAATTTGTTGGCAAGATTTTGTAAACTGGTAAACTTGTCGAAAGCAAAACATTCGGCCTGATTTGTTTTCCAAGAAATTGTTTTTCAGGCCTAATCTACTGTGATCAAGAGCTGATTATGGCTCTTGAATGTGATAGAAGATGATTGCTATTTTTTGGCTTTACACATATGGCTATCAACTAGATGAAAGATGTTTCACTCTAAAATCACTTAGCCTTTCCCTCAAAAGTCACATGAATTTGCCCTTAAGTTAACTGATTTGTGGATTCCAAGTTTATTGTTTGATTTAAATAATAAATTTATTAATGGGAGCTTCGCTTTTACCCCTGGCTAAATCTATATATTATGAAATAAAATAAACAACTGTGATACATAAAGTAACAGTAGTGACGTCAGAACAGAGCTGTACAGTTTCATGATCGCAGTGTCTTTCTCAATATGACGTCACGTCCGTCATATTGGTGTCCTAAAACAACGAAAAGGCGGCCATGTTGGTGTCTCAAAACAGTCCTGTGGGATATTAACATTTTTCTTATGTAAAAAAGGTTCCAATAAATTTACATCACTGCTGGCCACTTTAGCCGCGTCCTATTCTTGGTTTGCAACCACGTGACACGGCGACAATGTGGGGGGTCAATACAATAGAATTTTTTCTCTAAGAATTTACATGAAAATAGAGTTTAGTTCCCAGAGGGGAAAAATGCTATTGTTATTGACCACCAGCATTGCCGCCGTGACGTCACCTGCAAACCAGCAATACGGAAGTCGGAAGTTGGAAGTCAGGTTCAGCAATATCCAGGCGTCGATTTCGTATCGTTTTGTGAACCTTGTCCTTAAATTCCCTTCCTCTTCCCTTCCATCTTTAGGATGAGGTCGTTAAAGAAAGACGATATAACGTGATTGTTGTGCAACCACCAAGGACTTTTGACTGATGAAGGCCGTGCGATTTAGCGGAAATATTTTAGAACAAATATTTATACGTTTGACTGGTCCAGAGAATCCCAGTGTCCAAGAAGTCCGGGGAAACATTTAGGTTCGAGGAAAAGAAATATGACTAGTTTTCCGAAGGACTAGTCTTTAAGTAATTTTCATTTAGCTCACGAAAAAAAAAGCAATGTCTCCTCTCTCCTTTGCCGGGAAACAGTGTTATTGTTATTCAGTCATGTGACTTCGCAAAGAACTACTGTTTTGAGATGTTGGGTGAAATTTGTAAACTATATAAAAATATCATAACATGGAACTGGTAACCTGATTTTACCGTTTGCGTTAAAAATTCCAAGGTGCCAGTTATCTCTATGATAAAGTGGACGGGGTTTTTTGTCAGATCCGGTCGAGGTAAGTGTTATCGGCCTCGGCTGATAACACTTACCTCGACCGAATCTAATAAATGGTATTATTATACATTGTTTGGAAGAAAGTAACAACAAACACATATGGAGAACAGCTTGACATTATTCTTGGAAAAAATGCTTTGCGCTCGAATCCTACGGGTTTAGTCAGATATCTACTCGCAGGTAACTAACTAATTTGTACTAAGATTGCACTGATTCGCAAAATTAAGGGTAGCCTCTTAGACAGTGAGAAGACAGATAGTAAGTACAATGTATAATAACGCAGCGAAGTAAACGGTACCTGTAGTAAATCTTACAAACAAAGCATTATATAGTTAGTCATGATGTTAAAGTGATTACTCTTTATCTATGTACAGTGATGTATGGTAAATTACAAATATACATGGTCTTCTAGATGCCAATTCCGTTTGGTACCCTTTCTGGAAGCAGGTAAGTATAAGGAACTTCCAATGACTCATTGCGTAACTTAATGGATCGCGAAATGCGATTGAGTTTTCCTTGGAAGCGTAAAATAGCCTCTCTGGCCGCCATGTCAGTAAAACCCCCGTCAGTGTAGTCACCAAGGAAACGCTTGAAGGGAATAACAAAAACATATAGGTAATGCAGTAATATCAAAATTACTCACAAACCAGTCAGATACAAAGAACTATTTGGAAAGATACCATCACTCAATCTCGGACACTCCCTTGTCCTGTATATATGATTACGTCATTTTATTTACTTAATTTAAGTCAGTATTGAGTTGTGGTTTCAATGATCATAATGGTATCGAATAGTTATCTTAGTCATCAATCAATGGGACATTCGGCGTTGCAGAAGGCTGAATTAACGGTGCCCCCCTTCAAAACGGCATTAAATCCAAATCATGAAAAATGAACCATTTTCTAGGCTTTGCTATGGTAGCAAGACGTTTCCTGCTTTTTTCCGAGCAATTTTTGTCGGAGATTGATGACCACGAAAGACTCGGTAGACTAAAAAATATAATCAAAGAAATGCTTACCTCATCAGGAAAGATACGAGTCAAATCGTACACCGTCGCTATTGTAACTCCTGCTTGGTGTTTCGTGGCAAGACTTTGCATCATATCTTTCATTGACAACTTGCCTTTTTCTGATGGTGGAAGTTGCCGCATCAGGGCCGGAGAATTTGGCGGGAAACCGAAGGTATCCATCTGAGAAAAGTTGACGGCTGCGTGCTGACAAGAGAAGGTGAAAATCATCATGGTGAGCAGATGAGTGAGTTGGTCAGCGGTTGTAATGGATTTAGGGACGCCATGATCACTTTCGTCTTCTCTGATTGAGTAGCCGTTGTCATGAAGATCAAGAATCCACGCTTGCAGCTCTGTGTCCTGTTGGAAAAAATTATGGTCAATGGGTGTCAATTGATTGGCGTCAAATGATGTACAGAGAGTTAAGCCTCCCGCCTCCCGAACCTTGCATTTCCAGCTTCCACCCCATTTGTAATAGGCCACTTGTAATAGGCGTTGTTGCGTATTTTCGTCCTATTTATCCCGCTTCCCACCCTTTGTCATTACCTACCTGCTGTATATCTTCATCTGAATGGTAATAAAATGAGAGAATCTTGGTGATATACCCTTTTATGGAGTGCCACAGTTTCAAGGCGTCGTCACGGTAATGGAAGTTGGGAAGCTTCTCGGCGTCATCCACGCCTCTGTCTTTTAAAACTTTTGGCAGATCGTAGGAGGACCAATTCATGGTCTTGTAGTACTTCTTCATCAAATCAATGTGACCTAGCAAAATGGCGATTAACTAAGTGAACAAAAATATAGCAGCAATAGAGCTACAGTGTACTATTTTTTGGTATCATGCACTTCAATGGAGCTTAGAACGTTTTGACCCTGGTTTCATTTCATTTTCTTTATGCTGATTTCGGGAACAAATAAGCTAGCAAGCGTCAAGATGAAAGTAGCAAGAAATCATCTGGCGCCAAAATATGAGTCTTAAGTATTGTGGCTGAATTTAGCCTATCATTGTATTGGGTGACTTAACTAATAAAGAAATCTACTAATCGCGGAATTAAACGCGTGAAAATTAGTCCCGGGGGGAGGTGCATGGTCCCCCCGAAAGTTTTGAGTTGGGTGTGCGCTATGCTTTCTAAAACACTCACCCTATTTTACGAAAATTTAAAAATTCCCTGCACTATTTCAGACCAAAATACGTGATTTCCATTCACTATTTCAGAACAAAATAGATGATTTTTCTTCTCCCATTTTACACCTGAAGAGTTCTTCTACCTGTCACGAGACCCTGTTTACACAGAGCACAAACCCTTATACTCTTTTTCAGGGCTAAACGAATTACAGTCCCAAAGGGTTCAAATACCTTCTCTCTTTATTACGGTTACGTACGAGTACCCCCTCTGGAAATTTATTCTCGAATGGTTTTGCCTGTACCGTTGATTGATTGAGAAACTGGCGCGTCATTAAGTTCCACCACCATTCTCGTTTTCTTGTATGTACATAATTATTAAAAACGTATACCTCCTCCACCCACACTGAGAGTGTTATCCGCCACACCTCCAGCTGGAATCAGCCTTTCTCTGCCAAGAGTGTTGATGGCTATAACCCCTCGAATATGAGGTATCAGTAGCTTCCATAACGGATGCAATGAAGGAAGCTGTCGCCAACAAGCTACAGCAATCGGTTCCATGAACAGATGACAGCGGAGAAGATGTGTGATCATCTAACAAAATGAAGTTAAAGTAATATAACACCGAGATTTAACGCCATACTTCAGCTTGACATTAACGGATCTAAATTCAGGCGTAAAAGGTGTATTGGATATCGAAAAACGGCAAAATACACCTTCCTTGTAAAAGGTGCAGCCATTGCGCGAACCGGCCGGGAGTGCTAGATACAACGTGTGCCACGTAATAGAAAGGAGACGCCCTTGGAAAGAGTAAGAAAAGGCGCCATTGGAATTCCAGGGGATGAAATAAGTAGTAAAAGTGTTATCAAATCCACTAACGTACACAGTCGTTCCCCACATGAACCAGATCTTAGTCCTTTTTCTCAAGTCATATCTGAACTGGCAGGGTTGTTGAGGAGATTTTAACAACGGGATAAGGCAATGGTCAAGCAACGATACACTTACTTGATGCCACTGCGTGTCAGCATTCCGCAGCCACATTTTTGCGTAGATCCAGTCCATTTCCGTATCGTTTGGCGTCCATATTGGGTTGGTCTCGCTGGGCACCTGATGAAACTGTATTGCTATGGGAACAATGTCTCCATTGCCTCTGACGTAGAACAAGCCCATAGCTGGGCAGGTGTAACGCCTCTCCAATGACTCATCCTTCTGGCCATAGTGTGGAATGTCTTCGAGAATCTCAAAGTCAACCAAGTACACACGGCCATCCTAAAAAATGTGGTTCTATGATCTGAGCTGATAAGATAAGTGCTTGTTCTACCACCCTTACACTCCAAGAATGCGTTGGGATGAGATAACTGAGGGAGCTTAAAACAAATAAGTTTTTAAGCGATACACGTCAAACGGAAGTGGATGTTTTGCTTTCTTGGCCAGTGGTTTTGGGCAAGTTTTTGGGCAAATCGTCTCTATCAGCGTAAAGACTTGCGAGAGTCAAGGCAAGAGAAACGTTCTCACTTCCGGTTGACATGCACTCAAAAATGTCTTGGCTTAAACTCCCTAATTTGTCACCAAACTTTAGTTTGGGTGGGTGAAATCCTTTTGTAACAGTCTGATGGACTGGACTGGCTCAACAACCTGCCTGACCTTTTGATAGATGTGCTGTGCCATTGCTGGATCAGTGTGCCAGGTTAGGAGTCGTCATTATTTAAGAATTCGTTTTTTATTAAGAGTCATCTGGTCAGCCTTTGATTTAATAATTTGTTCTACTTTCCTTTTTTATAATTTCATTTTTCTCATTTTTTTTCCCAACAAAATATGGAGAAAACCAACCTCCATCGATTTCTGCAAGGTATCGCTCTCGTCCAGCAAATTTCCAACCAGTTCCTGAGTGACAGGAAACTTTGATGGCAATTCTATGCAACGCTTGATCGTGTCTGGGTTACAGCCATTCAAGAACTGTGATCCATAAAAACGGTCATCTTGCCAGCGTTCGGCAGCTGACGGAACATCACCAACAAACGCGACAAATGCCTGAAACAAAAGGATTATTTCTTGCTGTGGCATTTTATTGGTTATGTCTTGGTGATTCCAACCCATCCCTCAAAAGTTGAAAGTGGGCACCTAAAGCTAATTGCTTTAATGAAATTATAAGTATATTGACGGAAGCTCCGCTTTTGGGCCGGACTTGCCAAATCTATATAATATTGATAATCGTTTTTTTGATTCCTTTGCTGGACTTCATTTGGTGATAGAAAGGATCAGGAAGATTCGTAACACCAGGACACTATACCGATCACGTTGACTGCCTTTACTTGAATCTCACTATCTTTTCCACGTTTGTCGCCCATTTTTGATGTATTGTAATTTGTTCAGTTGTGCTAATATCTGAATATTGATGAGGTAATCACGACTGAGAGATTTCCTTGCAGGTTTGAGCTCCCAGTATCGAAAAGACAAAAGCTGTCAAACCGGTCGTCACAGATTCGCACTCTTGCGTTCCGTCAAAAACGAATCCAAATGCGAAGCAAATTAGCGGCGAACAAAGTGGAAGGAAAAGAAGAAAGAAAAGAAGAACAGCCTAAAGGAAATAGCTCGCTCTAGAATACTGTACGTGGTCAATTTTTTTCCGCTCTTGGCACATATTTCGTCATGCCATGGTCTGTATTAGGCTTTTAATTTCTAATGTGGCGGAGAACTTGAAGCTCATTGATGCCACAGATATTAGCTTCCACTTACCCATGGCCCAGGAATTTCTCAAAACCTAGCGAGTGTCTAGACTTACGGTAAGTAGAGTCATACAGTTACAATACTAGCCCTCAGCCGCACACTGAAAACGTATTGGATGTCTCGTGCCATTCCATGTGGGGCTATTTTCTAATTTCTTCTGTCGTAAAACGTAAAAGACTTTGTGAAGCTATGTATTTAACTAAAACCAATAGTTTTCTTTCAAAGGAGCGTTTAGTAAAACAGCAGTAAGAAAGGGATGTGTTTTATAAAGACATCTTGTATCTATACCTTGCGATAGTCATCAAAGTCGTCCCAAGAATCAAAGAGATTAAATAATTTAATTAGCCCAAGATTGGCTAGCGCTTTCTGTCTGGCATTATGGAGGTCGTCTGCTCCTTCTTGTGTGAACTGGACATCTTTTGGGAGAGTGCTTATTTCAGCCTTCATGCAACCTGGTAGGTGGTATAAAGTAGGATCATCTGCCCATTGAAAGATTTCTTGTCTTTGTTGAAGTTCCAGCTTTCTTTGATTTTTCACGGCTTCGTGCTGCTCATGAGTGACTGTCATTGCTATGAAAAGGAATAATTAGTTGAGGTTTGAATCAGCTCTTACTCCATGCAAGCTTAATACACAGATCTGCAAAACATACTGGTTGAAATCAACTCTTTGACGGGAAAAGGAATCTATAATACTCGTCGCAGGCTAAAGCTGAGGATTTTTCCAAACCATATCTTCACAGCCCATTTTTGCATCTTTTCCTAGTATGCTATCCTTCTCTCCTTTTCCCAATGTCGAGTCTGGCAGTTTTTGGAAGTTGGCGATACGTAGAGGGGTGCAAGTGACAAGCACTGTTTCCAATGTGACGAGTATGGTAGCATTAAAGTTAGGATAGGATGGGCTCCAGGATAGAACATGTCCTTATTTATGAGAAGGGCTTAGAGTACCAGTAGACGCACCACTATAGAGAAAAACTCCTTCCCCGATCGGTAACTCATTGCCATAGGTATATATATTCCTTTGTTATCGCATGAAAGCATGATTCAATTTTCCTAACGCACGGAGCTAAATAGGTATAAAGACAAAACAAAAAAACCTACCTTTTCCTTCAAAGAAAACAGATTCGCTTTGCACCCAGCGATGGCAGGGGAACTCGTACAGCCTCTGAGGATTCTGGCTGCAGGTTATTAACACTTTCTCCACAAACCAGTCGCTAAACAGACCGTTCTTGTCATTATCCAGTTTAATCATCAATAGCTCGCCCACATCCTCTCCTTCCAAAGTGTATGTATCTTGAGTCCCCGCTTCGAAGTCATTGTGAAACCATTTGTCCATCAAAAGGGGTTTTGTTCTTCCGTTTGTTCCTAAGGAATTGAAATGATAGAGGCTTGTAAGAGACATTCATCATCAGAATAAGAATGTGGACTCAGTGTCATAACCTGATACAAACATTGCTCGTCTCAAATTTTGGGATATCTTCCCTGGCTCTGTCGCCAGGAGGCATTGCATGGATCGGCAGTTTAACCTTTGTAACACTTGATTAGTAACATGGTGCCACACAATTCAAAGTAGACAGAATGCAAATTATCTTAGTTGCTAAAAAATATATATCTACGTGTCGCAACTGTTCATCAGTAGGATGCCTAAAATGCGTGCAATATAAGATATAGGCATACAGTATGCGACGCCAAAGGGTATAGTTGTTCGCCTAGGATCTGAAATTGTGTATTGATATTAGCTGTTTGAAACTGGCAAATGGTAAGGTTTGGAACTAAGATTTGCAATTATAGTAGCAACTAGCTATACCCATATACTTGTATGGCGTCACACTGGGATTTGAATTAGGGTGGTGACACTGGTGATGAGGCGAGTTGCTCTGGCCACTGCACCACCCCTGCTTTATTATAATCGTAATAATTGTGACCCTTACCGGTTATTGTGAGGGTCACGTTAGCATCAGTACCAGCTCCTTTTCTGTTTCCAGTTGTCACAGAAATGCAGTAGATTGATATATCTTCTTTTACAGGGGATTTCGGGACACTCAATTCGCTTGAGACGATGCTGACTTTAGTTCCCAGATATGCCAGGGAGCTGTAGTCGTAAATAGTCTTGGCAGGAGGAAGCGAAATGGACGGTGGGGCATTAGTCAATGAGGTATGCGTGTCCTTAACTACGTCACCCGGCAATAGTGACGTCAATTTTACATCAGCAAGGTCTAGCCAAGGGTGAGTGTCTTGATCCCAGGCTCTTGCCGCGTGAAGTATAAGGTGGGAGTCGCCTGGTTGAATTTCATGGAGTTGTATTTGAAGCTTGTATTGTATACCTTCACACGATATTCGTTCTTCAAACTCGGCAGTTAAGTAGTTCTCTGGTCTTCTTTCCCCTATTGATCTCCAATTGTCCCTGCAAATGTGGTTTCAGATAACAAAAATTATGAAAGTGATCGTTACATGACTTAAGAATTGGCATGTTATTGAAAAGTGCAGTTACTAACATTTCATATAGGCAAGTTCTTTCAATCTTACCAAGGAGTCCTTTGTTCTTGTTCTATCATCAGTCCAGTCTCCACTCTGTTATCCGCGGGAACGAGGCGAAATTTGGCGTAACGTGGCTTGCCATCCTTGGCTTTGTATTCAAAAACCATCCACGAGTAATACCGTTGATCGGTAAAAGATTTTGGTGCTCGGCGAAAAACGGCTATGGCTAGGTAGAAACTAAGAATTTGAAAATAATAAAAATTGATGCGGATTTAATGATAATAATAGCCTGCGTCGCAAACGTCATCTAATCCTTGTCCTGGGCCCCCAAAGGACTCAAAGAAGTACCGAAAATAGATTCACCCTGATTGGCAAATCGACAATGGCTTTTTCGACAGGGTAATCATTGCGCTCACTCAAATCCTGGTAGACAGCTGGAAATCCAGAAAAAGGCGGCACTGTTTAGCAATTAATTGCCTTATCAGTGTTGTCGGGGCAAAAAAGATGTTTTTAAATAAGGTCAGGGAGATACATTTAATAAAGAAATGAAATCTATAATCAAGACTTACTGCCAAGGATCTTCCAGACAATATTCTTTAAAAGCTTTTGGACCCTCCTTTAAGGCTGATAACATCTTGTCAAAGCTAAAAATGCTCCAAAATGCCGCCTCTTCGCCCGTTTGCATCATCAGATCAAAAGGGGCCTCCGAGTCACAGTCGGCAAATTTTAAAGAAACTGTTCTAATGTCCAGTTGTGCATCATCAGTTGCCATAAAGTTACTGTGACGCAAACGCACTGGGAACACGTGTCCTTCTGCGAAAAAGTCGTGAGCAGGGAGGAGTGGGTTATTCAAGACTGTTACGGCACCTATAGCCCCGACTACATCAGGAGAAGTCCCTTGTTTTTGCGTTGCCAATGTCCTCAAGGCGTAGGCGATTTCATATTTCTTAACAAAGAGCTTCATTTGTGATGCACTGAAGGGTCCAGAATCTGGAGGGGGCTTAAAGAGACAGGACTAAATCAGTGAATTTATCGTTTTTATTCGACGAGAGTTACGAACGATTTAACGGGTGACTTGTTGCAAGAGTGATGCTGTGTTGTACTGATGAGATCATATAGGGTGTGTTTTATAACTCCCGTAGAATTTTTGTGGCACTCCCTCCGTGTTTTTCCAAACGATACAACGAACAATGATTGCCGAAAATTTGACTCACTAACTTGATAGGTCCGAAATTCGCTTGAAGACTGGGACCGTGTTTATGAAAATTAGCCTCCTTTTTTTATTAGTATTGTGATATGATGGCCTATTGTAACGTACATGTTATGGAACAATACTTTGGATATTTCTTTGTATGACAACTCAAATAAACCAATTTCTTGGTGCTAAACAAACCAGATTCTCTTCAACCCGTACAATTCAAAAGGTCAGTCAGCTTTCAGTCAGTTAAAATATTTTGGTGAAATCTTAATGATTTGACGAGTATATACCTCATCAGCCTCTTCCATCTTTCTCTTGAATAGTTCCTCTCCCATAATTTCCTTGAAGATCTTGAATCCCATATTTTCCCCTGTGAAAAAGAATTTTCAGACAATTATTTTCTGGAAGCCAACATATAAGCAAGCAAGACTAAAAAACAGATGTTAATGAATGTTTAAGTCAGTGGCAGGCCTGGTTGCAAGCCTCGATCTTTTTCTCCGGCTTCAACAGGAAAAGGTTTTTGCCACCCTGCCCTCTCCCTAAAGAGATAAAGAGATAAACACTTTTTCTAGATTTCATGTAATTTGCCTACGTTTTTATCAAATACGTGGCCACGATTGTGGCTAAACGTGGCATGAAATATCGCTACATCTTTTATGCTGCTTCCAGTAAACCAAACCTCAGCGCTTAAGTACATGCATACATTTTTGTTGTGCTTTGACTTAAAAGTACAATGATAACATGCTCGCGGGTAGCTAGGCTAATCTAGGCGGGTCATGTTTACAGGAAATAAATACAACTAAACACAACTAAAAGTAACAAGAGAACTAGAGAAACTAATTAAATTGACAACAATGACTAGAGACCGACTGATAAACTAATGGTATTACTAATAATAAATGACAACAATTATGACAAGAGACTACTGATACACTTAACGATATTAATGATTACATACTAAGAGGAAAATAAATTCAACTTAACTTTTTGAACGATTTCTGGGAGATCAATATAACAGTCTTCTGAAGCTTGGATCTTAGTTAAGGTTAAGTGGACTAGAGGCATAAAAAGTAATTCTTACATGCGATGGACTCATGCTCAGTTTCAATCGACCTCGAAGCCTGAAGAACTTGTCCATCCTGCACTGTTTGGCTCGGCGCCGGCGTCTGTATAACGTGTTCATTCAGCACTGTTTGGTTCGACGCCGGCGTCTGAATAACTTGCTCATTCTGCACTGTTTGGCCGTTGTTCTTTCTCTTCTTTGAAGTAATGATCCCCATATCTATTTCCAGCCTGCTAAATGAAAAAACGCTTCGTTAAAGTTCTAAAATCTCTGTGTCAAAGGCAAATTGCCCACAATGCAGCTCTTAAAACCACTTTTACAATTCAGTCTTGCTTGATTTTCCTACATCTAAATTTTGACAAATCAGATGCCCTCTTTTTCATGGAAGCACCAAATTAGCTTTCCCTTAAGTATCATTTCCACAGGGTATATTCATCAAAGTTTACCGATGGGGTAATACTACTGCAATCAATCTGAGTTTGAACGAAAACAGTCTAGTATATAATTATATATCTTCTTTTATTTTTTGTTGCCATCATTAATACATAAAAAGTCGGTGGTAAAATGAGCATGACAAATCTTTTAAAAATTTTTCTTTTCCTTTAAATTGTGTTCAGTAACTGTCTTCCGCCTCCCCTGCTTAATTTTGTAGATATCTGTTTATCTGTCCATTCCGCCGCAATATTTAGCTTCTAAAATGTTTTTATATTTCATACAGTGTAAATACCGCTCTAAAAGAGCTGCTATATGATATTGTTATTGCATACGGCTCTTCTGAACGTTTTTGTTTTACATTTATGCTTTAATTTCTCAGCAATGAACCTAATTAAAATAAGCCACGAAAGATAATCACAATTTTAATTCCCTTAGTTTTTTTGCTCACAGTGGGACCCGCAGAAATTACAACTGTTAAAAATCTTTGCTCCGATCTGCTCGGTTGATAAGGTAGTGAAGTCAGAGCCGCGCGGACGTCGAGACGCCAACTTCGTTTTTAGGGACCTATATAGATGTATATGATTCCTACAAGGGAAGACCTTTCTCATGGCTCTATTTACTACTGGAAAGAAGATTGATCGCGCTCAGTTTAATAAAAATAGGATAACGAAAGGTTTAAATTGCCAAGTCGTTTAAAGTAGATATGGATCTGTTGTCTTCTCAAGTGACACCGATAGTTCTATGCCAGATTCATATTTTTTGTTTTATTTCACTATGCCAGAATTTTAGCCACCGTTTCTGTCGAAGGCACCAATATCAGACCCTGTAAATCATTTCTGTAACATTCAAAGTTTACCGAACGAACGATGAAACAAAAACAATCTACTGCATTGTCACTCCAGGCGTAATCAAAACTGTTCTGCAAGTTCGGCAAAATTTAATTTTTATGCATTGCTTTCTCAATTTCTATTGAATTTAAACAATCTGCAGAAACTCAACTTGCGCCGGTGACGTCATTCCCTTGGGTGAGTGTAATTTATAACCTGACCGTTACTGTTTTCCACTTTCAGAACTGTTGTGCGCATGCACAAAAGCAAATGAAACTGACAACAACATGGAAAAATTTTTAAAGGGAAAGAAATGTCGCTAATTAATTTTCGCCAGCTTGAAAGACTTCGATTCTGCAGTTCGGTCACGCTTATTTAAATAAGCTGCGGGTCTGTACACAGTATGATATTGGACGAACTATTGGTTAAAAGCAGGAATCTCTGTTGCACTGTTTACGAGAATAGAGCTTGCTTTTTTGTGTTGAGATACGAGATAATCTTTCCGCAAAAAACATATCGAAGTTGACATCCGCTATCAACAATAACGGGGGAAATATGCACCGTTAAAATCTTTTGAAGAGAATATAGAGTTGCATTCCTTCACAATCGCTCCCTAGAAACACATCACATAAACAATTTAAAAATGGTTCTGCCATTAATCAGATGAATACTCACTCTGATGCAATCTACCTTCCGTTTAGCTGCAACTACAATGCTAAGCTTTCTTTGTACAGTATCTTCACAGGCTTTCCTAGTCACTACATGTCTTTGCGTCCCTTTTGTATCGCTTTATTCCTTGAGTTCACGTCAGGCGTAGGTGCCTTGATTAAAACAATCTCATTCCTTAGCAACAACAACACAACAGTGGCAAGGTGCTCTCCTGAGGGCATTTAAAGCTAAGCAAGGTACAATATATAGAACAAAACCATTACTTTCTATGATTGAAAACCACCGAGGCTTCTCTAATCAATGTCACGCCATGAATCAACATTTTTTAAATCAACATTTACAAATCCTTAATTTTACATAAATTATACAACGTATTTGAGCACTTTTGAGACAACAATTCTTGCGAAAGGGTATTAAAAGGTAAAAACTTTTGTGCAAAACTGGGAATCTGCTATCATGTTGCATTATATGCTAACGACGACCGCTTCGAAAGCGCGCGCTGAGTTGTACTACTTCTTCTTTTTTTTCTTTTTTTACAGGAATTACAAAACATTTCATTAACACATTGTACGAAGCTATTTAGCGTGTCGACTAGCATTAAAGGTCGTGATGTTGATCACGGTAGGCAAATTAAGGTCGTAAATAATCCTTTTCGCAACAATGAAGGATTATCTTTGCTTGGAATGCCTTACTCTGTTAGTGCCTATCACTCGCCCCTCGCCCGTCCTTGGGCCCTACGTTTCGGAATTTTCCTGTCTAAGGTCCTACGTCATGTAGTCACGCACCCTTATATGACATGCAAACGCTGTACAATCGACTTTATAAGATAAATTTTGTGACAGTCTCACATCAACTGTGCAGCCATTACTCGAAAGGCCCTTAAAATTTCAACAAAGCGATCGAGTTCCACGAACTACCAAGGGGTTATTCAAAAGTATTTTATTTCAGTCATGAGACAAATCTCTCGCATACTGCTAAGACTGGGATGTTGATGGGGGGGGGGGGGGGGGGAGGGTGGGTTTGTTATTTTGAAATGCCATGGTGAATAAACGAGTAAAAACTTTATTTCATTTCTCATTCACAAATGATTCATTTGTAATGCTTAAGGCCTCCTACTGCTGAGCCTGCATGTCTACAGTCACCTCATCTCCACTCCCCGATTTTGTTTGTGGATAAAGAGGGAGCGGCTGTACGCAGGTTGCTCACTGAAACCTACTGGTACAATTCAAAATTAAAGTACACTCTAGATCTTTCAATGAACAGTCAAAGTGGACTGCAAGTTGTACATTGTAACTAGGATTTTAAAATCGTTAAGTTCTGATTAGTATATTAGTCACACTGATGTAACAATTTGAAATCACTATTGCTTTATTCACATCAAACTCTCTCACGTGTCAAAGCCGTTTGGTTAAAAACCGTTTAAATTTTTCCTTCCGTAAACAAGTATTTAACCATTAATTTTTGTTGACTACAAATGTGGCCAAATTAAATTACAGGTCAAAGATTTCTTCCGGTCAGCAGCCTTTGTAAACTATTTTCCAGTTTCCAGACATAATTAATTAATCAAACCGAGTTTTCTGAAAAATTATTTTATCCTTAAAATGTATGTCAATTCAAATGATAAAAAAATTATGTGATATGTTCCACTCCACGCAGAAGACGTAGACTATGTATTTATTAAAAATAAGCCTAAACTCTGCTTAATATAACACAAATAACGCTATTAATGCTAAATACCACTGATAAATAATTTAGATATTGTTTATAAGAATAAGCCTGAGTAAACAGCCGACACTTTCGCGACGCCAACAAAGGCTTCCCCGCAAAAAATTCCACTGATGACTTGTCACTACACATGCAGACCTGTGTAGTAGTTCTGATTAATCGCGCCGCAAGCTAAGTTTGCTTCAATTAATGGAAAGCACTACCCAGATCTTGGTAGACACATATCATCGGTATGGAATTTCTGCGCTCGTTTCTCAGCCGTCTTTTCGCGGGGAAACCAGTAGTGACTGTTTTCTAAGGCTTTATAAAAATCCTCCTTTTATATTTGTAAGCCGGTATGTCTAGTTTTACAACTGTGGATCCTAGATTGCGATGCTGTTAGGCGTCCCGTCTGGGAGCAGATAAACATAAGGGATCTTCAGCTTTTTATTTCGCTCTTTTATTGACTTGGAGATATCGCTGATCTTTTCTTGGAAACGGAGAATGGCCTCCAGAGCAGCAATGTCTGTGAAGAGTCCGTCGGAATAATCACCTAGAAAACGCTGTTGTTGGGAGAAGAATAATGAAAAAAAATTTAAAATGCTAAAATCAAACAAGACGACTTTGATTTGCATGTAAAACCCCCTGAGATTCAGCTTTGCTTAATGCGTTTTTTAAAATTTACTTTATTTCTTGAATACCGGAAAGTCCAGGATTTCGACTCGAGAGCTGAATTTTAGCCATTTGTATCCGTGCAGTTATTCAATTATCAAGTCATTTTCTGCATAACCCACTAGTACAGTCGGTATATCATCTTCATAATGCCATTACTCCTCCCCCACCCCTCCCTTTCCGACTCCCAATAATGCTCTTTCAAGTTACCTCATCTGGAAATATGCGTGTCAAGTCGTACACTGTTGCTATGGTAACCCCAGCTTGGTGCTTGGTTGGTAAACACTTCATTACTTCTTTCATTGTTACACTATTCTTCTCAGTTGGAGGCGGTTGCCGCATCAGGGCAGGAGCATTTGGCGGGAAACCAAAGGTATCCATTTGCGAAAAGTTAACAGCTGCATGCTGACAAGAACATGTGAAGATGATGATGGTCAGCAGATGGCTTAGTTGGTCAGTGGTGGTGACTGAAGACGGGAAGCCGTGGTCGCCTTCACCCTCTCTAACTGGGTAACCATTGTCGTGAAGATCACGAATCCACGCTTGTAGTTCCGTGTCCTGGAAGAAGTATTAGATCAATTTAGGCTTCTGGAAAGCTGCCTACCTACCCCTCCCCTATGCTAACATTAACACTTGCTTCTCACTTAGGGCCAAATGTTGGCTTAGGGGAGGGGTAGGTGGGCAGTTTCTCAGAAAGCTAAATTGATCTGTTCGAGAACGACACTAGAAAAGACGTTGACAGCACTGTCACGTGGCATTTCATCCTGATATCTATAATTGCTGTCCATTATATATTTCACGGGCTGCTTGCAGTGACAACATTGTATCTCAACCGTATTAGCAAAGGAGACAGGTTAGTTTAACTCCCAAACGTGCAAATAAAAACACTACTTGATTCTCGTGTTCGTAAATACGGAAAATCAATACTGTCGGAGAGTCTCATTTGAATGGTCACAACATAGGCTTTGTTCATAGACTGTAAAGTAAGAACTGCATACTTAATAAAATAGTACCATGTGAAAGTACTGCCTAAGGGGCTGCGAAGGATTTCATTAACAGACTCAAAAGTTAGAACTACAAACTACATAAATAGCACCATGTGAAAGTACTACTGAAGAAGTTTCATTTGAATGGTAACACCACAGAAATTCATCCACAGACTCCAAAGTTACAACTAAATACGAAATATATATTTACCATCTGCGCGTATGATCTACTAAAATATCCGAAAGGTGCATAACTTACATTCCGGATGTCTTTGTCAGAATGGTAATAAATGGCTAAAATGCTAGTGACAAAGTCCCCGATGGCCTGCCATAGCCTGAGCGCATCGTCTCGGTAGTAGAAGCCAGGCAATTTTTTTGCATCATGAACCCCTCTTTGTTTAAATACTTTGGGCAAATCATAGGTTGACCAACTCAAGTCCTTGTAGTATTTCTTCATCAGCAAAATGTGGCCTAAGACAAGAATAAATTAAGATAAAGTTAGGTCAAAGTCAGTTTAACCTAAGATTTTTTTGCGTAAGAAATTTTGTCAAGAGACCACCGAAAGACTACGATTAGGGCTGGCTCAGGCGGCAGAAAGCTGGTCTGCTTAGCGCTAGGCCGCATGTTTGATTTCCGGGGGGCCAGGCCATTTACTCAGGGTCTTTAAATAATCATGCCCGGTTTCAGCTACCACTCATTTTTAGTGAATTATGTAACATCTTACTTTTGTGGGAACACTTCCTTTCATAAGTACAACTTACGTTACCCACCATCAACTCAAGATTATATAAGAACGAGTTCATGTAAGCAAGAACAATTACACAGAATTTTTTGTACTTTTAGGCCGTTATATGGTAAAGTAGATACTTAATATGGGTGACAAAAACCTCCCTCTCATTGATTTACCTCCACCTCCTAAACTAAGCGTGTTGTCCGCCACACCACCGGCAGGAATCAGCCTTTCTCTTCCCAGCGTATTAATGGCCATAACTCCCCGCACGTGAGGTGCTAGTAACTTCCACAGAGGGTGGAGAGAGGGTAGCTGTCTTCTGCAGGCAACAGCAACAGGCTCCATAAAGAGATGTGTTCGGAGAAGATGCGTGATCATCTGCAAATACAGTGAGAAGTTGCTAAAAAGCCTAGCTATCCACATGACGTCACGTCCACCATGTTGGAGTCCCAATCCTGTTCTGTGAGAGTTGAACTCTTTTCGTATGTCAACGCTTACTTTTGTTCCAATAAATTTGTATAGACGCTGCCCACGTGAGTGAAAACGCACACTGTAGACCTTTTCGAGGAATTTAAGGAGCTGATTGATCAAATAATTATTTTCTAAAATTGTTTCACAAAACCGAAAGCCATGAAGGAAGATACTCTCAGCGTTCAGTTCTTAAATCCAATTCTGCCAGGCAGAAAACCAATGTTTCACTTCAAGTTGGTAAAAACTACATTATACTTTACAGCATGATTTTTGTCATGGATACAGAACTTATCAAAGAGACTTAACGATTTATGTAGAAGCGCGTTGTTTCTAGTTCCCGTGAAGGCCATTACCTGATGCCACTGCGAGTCTGCATTCTTGAGCCACATTTTTGCGTAAGTCCAGTCCAGTTCCGAATCGTTGGCGGTCCATATTGGGTTGGTCTCGCCAGGCACCTGGTGAAACTGTATTGCTATGGGAACTATATCTTCAGTGCTCTTGACATAGAACAGGCCCATAGCCGCGCAGGTATAACGCCTCTCTACTTTAGTATCGTTTTCTCCGTAATGGGGAATGTCTTCGAGAATCTTGAAGTCAACCATGTAGACACGTCCATTCTGTAAATAATGCAAGGAAACCAATCTAGGTCCGCAACTGAGTCTCTTAGAGAGGGTCTTATTTAACCCTTTAACCCCTAAGAGTGATCAGCATCAAATTTCTCCTTGTAATATAAATGCTTTGTAAAACAGAGTGGTCAGGAGAATTGAGTACATGATCATGGAAGATGAGTCTAATTGATACTTCAACAAATTCTCCTCACTACTTCTATTGAAAAAGTATAGGGACAGTAAATGAGAATCTCAGTTTTGATATTAGGGTTTAAAGGGTTAAGTGTAGCCTGCGTCGCAGACGTAATCTAACCCCAGTTAGTAGCGTCTGCTAAGCGGTACCGATATCCTTGTTCTGGGTCGCCAACGGAATCAATGAATTACCGGTAATGTATTTCGAGTTTCCCTTCAATCCGATTGGGAAAACGACAATGGAATTCCTAAACATGGCACGTTCTCAAATCCTGGTACACAGCTGGGGCCCAGAACAAGGATTTCGGCTCTGACAGCCTTGCAGACGAACTCAACCTGTCCAGAAGTTTAGTATGTTGTGCAGGCTTCCCGTGATTTATACCAGCATGGGTGTTACGTGTTAAAGTTATGCCGATGCACTTTATACCCTCAATCGACTTTTTTTTTCATTCATGATTTCTGCTACTTTAACGCTTCAAGATGGCGTCTGACGGAGTTGAATGCTGCAGGTAGCTAGTGTTAGCTACAACTATGAGCATGGTACAAGCCAGAAAAATATTGCAACATTTAATTTGGGAAAGCATGATACAAAGTTACCTGCATTGCCTTCTTGAGGGTATCTCCCTGGTCCAGCAAATTGCCGACCATCTCCTGTGTGACTGGAAACTTGGATGGCAACTCGGTGCATCGCTTGATAGTATCTGGATTACAGCCATTCAGAAATTGCGATCCGTAGAAAGTATCATCCTGCCATTGATCGGCAGCTGGTGGAACGTCGCCGACGAAGGAGACGAATGCCTAGAAAACGAATTTTCAAACTTTTCCCTTAAAAGTGTAGTTACTTTATTATAAAAAGATTTGCTCGTCAAATTTTACAAATAACGTCTTAAACCAGCAAATATTCCAAAGAGTTAAAGTGTTTTTACCATCCGTTGATGAAAAGCCACAAACTTAAATTGCCATTGTCTACCAAAATTAAAAAAAAAAATATCAACTTGCGTACATTTTGCTCACCGCTTACCTTACGATAATCATGAAAATTTTCCCACGATTCAAAAGCATTCAGCAATTTAACCAGACCGAGGTTAACAAGTGCCTTCTTTTTCGCGCTGTATAAGTCATCGATAGCTTCCTCAGTAAAACGAATGTCTTTGGGAAGCTTCCTTACGCTTTCAGCCTTGATGTATCCGGGGAGACCCACAAAATTGGGATCGTCTCCCCATTTGTAAACCTCTTGGCGATGTTGGATCTCCAAGTGTCGCTGCTTCTTTACTGCTTCGAGTTGTTCGTCTGTGATCAGTTTGGCTGTAAGAAGAAATATGACGTTAGGACTAGTACGTCTTATTGTGCTGTACGGAGCTTAGCACGTGCTTTTGAAGGTGAACACACCAGAAGACAATTAAGGGCCGAAGTGGCTCATTATTTGGAGGTCTGGGGGCATGGTAACCCAGAAAATTTTAAAATATAGGATTGATCCAATATGAATAAATGAACGCCGCGTTCTTGGCTATGAAGCTGGAAAGACTTAGTGGACGAACAACCTAAGAAATGGGATAGTGGAATAGTGGGATTGGTTATTGGTATTTAAGGCGTAGCATTGTTATAACATTCCAGGACTTGCTTAACTTTCTCTATCCTAGGAGAAAAGACGACTTTCCTGTCCACTTTTTACTCACGGCGTGTGAAACAAAACCGTTATAAGGCGCCTGCTCTAGCGGACTAGCTTATGTACATACCTTTTCCTTCAAAGAAAACGGACTCACGCTTCACCCATGCGTAACATGGAAATTCGTAAACCTTTAGAATAGTGGAGCTGGTAGTTATCAACACCTTATCCACAAACCAATCGCTAGAACGATGGAAAATGCCACCTTGATTGTTCTCCAGTTTTATCATGACTGGTTCTCCCACATCTTCCGCCTCGATGACGTAAGTATCTTCTTGGCCCCTCTCGAAATCGTTATGAAACCACTTATCCAACACGGCAGGCTTTGTTCTGCCCTTGGTTCCTTGAAGAAAAAAATATTTTGTTATACTAATGAGGACATTTTGTCGTTTTGCAGGATGTCTGGCACTTATGAAGAGGTTTCCCAGAAGGGTTTTTGCGTCGGAACGGGATTATATAGACGAGATTTTGCGATGGCGGAATATGACGCGGCTGCGATTGTTGTCTCGAAAGAGCCGATATCCGGTAACAAAATTGAATTGCAATTTAAAAAAGTTTATTCTATAACTGCTTCCGCGAGCGGGTAAATGAATCGAAGCCAATCGTGTGTTGTGATTGGTGTATCCTAGCCGCAAGAAAAAATGGTTCTCTTGGCCATATAATAAATCCTCTATTGACCAAGCGGGAGGTTAACTGGCTGAATGTTGGCCTTGTTTTTTTTTGCGTTTTTATTGATCTCTACCCTGGGTGCCAGAGACTTTTCTGGTGCCGTTTCCGGTTTCTGTCAAGTCTTGACAGTGAACCGCGTGAAATTCCCGCCGCCGCTCGCGATCGTAGCTTCGGCCTACGGCCGAAGATGTGTCGGACTTTAGCCAATATCCAGGCATCTTAAGGGGGACATTGGGGGGTACTTGATACCGCAATACCGTAAGAAAAATTATGAAAAACCGAAATACCGTTTCCAAAAACAACGAAATACTGATACCGCATTTTTAGGCATTTACGATCGGTCACGCTTACTTTAATTTGTATCCATCTTGACTGTTTGTCTCTCAAGCATGTAACTATACACTAGCAATCAACCACAGCCATTGCGAGAAAACGCGAGGAGACCTTAAATAGATCGGCACAACGATCGAAAAGCCCGGTCATTGTTGGTTGCCCTACCAATTTCATCATAGATTAACTGTAATCATTTACCAAGTTTTAAGTCTTCAAAATATTGACCTGCATTAGACAGGAGAGTGCAAATGAACAGTACCACAATGACGAGAAGGATCTTCTTTTACCGAATACCGTTAGCCAAAAACATGAAAACCCGCATACCGCAAGCCTAGATGATACCGCGACATCGCACAATAAAATCATGTACCGAAATACTGCTTGAAAAAAAAAATCAATACCGCAATACCGTAAACCCCCATGCCCCCTTCCATCTTGATAATAACGTATATTTCATTTCGTATTAAGCGGCATTTACGTTTGATTTCTTGGCATAAACGTAAAAAAAATTTTTACATCATAGATTCAAAATATGTTTTATAAGTTATCTCACCTGTTATTGTCAGCGACACTTTAGCATCTGTGCCGGCCCCTTTTCGATTTCCAGTTCGCACTCGTACACTGTACCTCGCTCCTTCACAAGCATGTTGTTTGAAAACCGCTGATCTTGGCTTGTTTGAGCTCATTTTATTTGAGGAGGAATAGACTTTAGACCGCAGATATGAAATAGAATTGTAGTCGTAGATAGTCTGTGCTGGAGGAATGCTAATTGTGGAAGGGTGGTTGTCAAGTGAACAACGAGTTCGCTCAACTACAGCAACAGATAAAAGTGACGTCATGGTGACGAGAGCTAAATCCAACCACGGATGGTTCTCCTGGTCCCATACTCTTGAAGGGTGAAGAATTAGGTGCGAATCATCAGGACTTACTTCATGTAATTGTATCTGAAGTTTGTATTCAATGGGGGCTTCCGATAAGCGCTCTTTAAATTCAGGGATGAGGTAGCTTTCAGGACGTTTTTCATCCTCCCATCTTGCAGGCTCCCTGAAGTAAATAATTATAATAATTGAATGTAACAACAATTTCTTTAAGAAGACAGATAAGGTAACGATTCGCTGCAACGCGTCGCGCGGGAGAAAATCACCTCCCTTAACATGGAGAATGGTGTAAAAAATCGCCGCCACAAGCCGCGCAAAAAATTCAAACTCGTTTCATTTTATGCGCCTCTTCGCGGCCTCAAAACTTTAAAACGACAACAATTCCTTATCACGCACGAAGGGAACTTTTCTTGGGACATGTCCCATCACCAAACGCAAAAACATGTCACCCGACCTGCAAGTGCAGAGTGGTTGTTCGCAGAGACTTGTCACCAGTAAGAGAAAATAAAGATTCTCTCTTAATTCCGTCCAGTAAAAAAGGCGCATCCATCCACTCGAACGCTACAAAAGTTTGGACTGACAGAATACATTCAAAGGACTGTTAGAGAAAGATAATGTGTTAACACACATCACCTGCGCTTCGAAAAAACTTATATACTCTAAAAGGAAGGAAGAGGTATAGAGGAAATTCGACATAATTGATTTTGAGTTACCTTGGTTATCTCTTTGGGCGTTGTTAATTGGCTAGGGAAAGGGTAGTGCCATGGGATCGTAAAAGGCCTTTACTTTTCTGCTCCCCTCTCTTCCTGCTTTTACCGGCAAGCGCTCCGGTGATCCCGCCCTATTTCACTGTCGATTTCTGGCGCCTCCCAGTCATAAAACAAGAACTGGCTGAGTTTGTTGCGCACACTACTTACCATGGTTTTCTTTGGTCAAATTCTGTTAATAGACCAGTCTCTGCTCTGCCATCTTGGGGAACGAGGCGAAATTTGGCGTAACGCAGCTTGCCATCTTTTGCTTTGTATTCATAAGCCATCCACGAGTAATACCGCTGATCGGTGAATGAGTCCGGAGCGCGGCGGAACACAGCTATAGACAGGTAAAAGCTGCAGAGAGAAATTTTAAAGATTTATAAATGCGTTATTGACCAAGCGTGAGGTCAATTTGGCCAAGTTCTTTTTTGCGTTTTTATTGACAGAAACGAAGTCGAGGTCAGTAAAAGGCAAAAATGAACGAGGCCAATATTTAGCCATCTTGACCGAACAAGCTTGACCACTAAGGGATTTATGTGGCTAAAAAGATAACTTTTTCTTTCGGGACCAATGCGGGAAATCCAGAGCAGGTAAGATGGGCCCATCGTGCCCGCTCGTGTAGCCAATCAGAAAGCAGGATTTGCCTCATATTGTGAAATAAAGATTAAATTCCCTGCGCAGCATAGTTATTTAATTGTAAAATCGACGCTGTTCAAAAGAGTTTTAACCGACGTTTCGGCTATGCTGCCTTCTTCAGGGTTAAGACTCTTTTGAACAGAATCGATTTTACAATTTTCAAATTAATATTCACTTCATATTGCCCGCTCGCGGATTCAGCCATATGATAGTAGCGGGTATTACATGGCTATAGGACTTACGATTGATCTCGTCATTAAACATAAGCAGATGCGGCTTTCAAAACCCTTTGACCGTGAGACAAAGTATTAGAAACTACACTTTAGAGAGATTTACTATCAGTGTGAAGTTAAAAGAGCCCCAAGGTATTAAAAACTTTTGGATTCTAAGACGAGGACGATTTTCCGCCACTGAATACTAAGCAGTGCGCGAAAACCCATCGTCATTTTGGCTGGAAAACATGATAACCGCTGCCATATACTGCTGGTCTTAGCAAGAATGTCAGAAGCTTTATTTTTATTTAACTTCCATCGAGGAAACAGCTGCTGCCTCCCGCTTAACAAGAAGTTTAAGGAATCTGGTTAGGAGATCGACTGTTTTCCCAGACTACTCCATCTGAATTAGAGAAGGCTATGTGAGCCGGCAGAAAATTCAAAAAAGGAAAGAAAAGAAAAAAAAAATAAACACTTACTGCCAAGGATCCTCAAGACAGAAAGCTTTAAACGTCTTAGGGCCTCCGGTCAGTGCTGTAATCATCTTGTCAAAACTGTAAATGTTCCAGAAAGCCGCCTCTTCGCCAGTATGCATCATTAGATCAAACGGCGACTCAAAGTCAGTATCAGCAAACTTCAGAGAGACCGCCCTCACGTCCAGCTGAGCGTCATCGGGTCTGGCAAGATTAGAATGTCGGAGACGCAATGGAAACACTCGCCCGGTCTCGAAAAATTCGTGCTCGGGGAGGAGAGGGTTGTCGCATACTGTTGCTGTTCCAATAGCCCCCACACCTCTGGGGTGAGTTCCGCGCTGACGGGTTACAAGTGCTTTTAAAGCAAATGCAGTTTTGAATTTAGCCACGTAACGGGCCATTTGAGAAGCGCTGAAGTTACCAGGTTTAGGTGGTGGCTGCAGAAAGAATGGGTTTTAATGACCGTGAAAAAACAGGTATGTTAGCGTGAAGGGAAAAAAAGTGTCTTTTGGATTGGTACAATAACTAGTGATTACCCATTAGCTACCCATTGGGAAAGCATACATTTTCTCTCTGTTCTATAACGATCTAGGGATTGCGAGTTTTCCATTGTGTACGTCAGAGAAAGAAATGATGCTGATTCCTTAACTGTAGCGCATAACAAAACTTGAAAAAGTGCCCTTTTTTCGGTACTCATTTTAAAAATCTCCATACAAGCTAATGGGTTAACAATGACATTATGACCCGCGAGCGTTAATAAAAATGTTGCTCATGGGGTCGGGCCAAAAACAATCGGATACTGTACTTACTTCGTCCGCTTCTTTCATTTTCTGCTGAAATAACTCTTCTCCCATTTTTTCTTGAAAGTATTTGAAGCCGAGATTTTCCCCTGTAAAAATAAATTAGCGATAGAGAATGATGACAACGATACATACTCCGGTTTTATCAACAAATATTTAACCACAACTTTAAATTGTGACTGTCTACGGCCACAAATAAAAAACGGGCAAGTAGTGCGGGCGCTTGAGGACCGTTAAAAGACAACAAAATAATGTATTTTTTCATCTCTCCATGCCAATGCGACTCGGAAAAATTACCAAAAATCATACTCTTGGAGGATTCCATCTGTTAAATCACTTAGCCTGCGTAGCAGACGCTTGGAAGTAGTGGGCGAAAGAGAGAACGGACGTGCGCGAGGGAGACACGCAAGGGGTGATTGAGGGGTGATTGCTCCCTCTCCCCTCGCATGTCTCCTTCTGTCGCGCGCGTTTTTTCTTGTGCCCACTAATTCCAAGCGCCTGCTACGCAGGCTACAAATTGCCAAAGAATTGCGTCACTTACAAGATGAGAGTTCTTCTCTGCTTCCAATAATCGAATTTTTTTGGCCATGTTTTACTTTCAAGTTCTTCTTTGAGGGTGTTCCTCCCATGTTTCAGTCTTGTTATAAAAAAAATCCTGAGATGAAAAAAAAATAATCGTTAGGTAAAATGAAATGAAGTCCTTTTAATTATTATAGATTAATAATTTGCTTGGCTGGTGTTTGACACAATGTTTGAGTACAGACAAATTGAAAAAAAAACTATTGCACAGAGAAGTCGTTACGACACCGCGTTGCCGTGATAGCAAAATTTTTCAACAAACCGTGGTCCTGCAAATAAGGCAAAAGCAACGAACAAAACTGACATGACTTGTATGAATTTCCTGTGCATGATTGCACTCAGGAACAAAACCGAAGCCCATACTTTTTTCCATCGTACAACAATGCAAATGGCCGTCAAGAAAGATTGTTGAGATATTTTGTTACTATGGTAACGTGACGTCCCACTTCACCTCTCTATCGTACAGTTTGTAAAAGGCACAGGGAATAGTGATTATAGAAAAGCTGTCGTTTTGTTGCTATTTCATCAGCATAAAAATAAAAACATAGCTTTAATTTCGTAAGTGCATTAACCCCTTAAACCCTAATATGAAAATTGAGATTCTCACTAAGTCTCCCTATACTTTTTCAATAGAAGTAGTGGGGAGAATTTGTTGAAATTTCAATTACACTCATCTTCCCTGATCATGCACTCAATTCTCATGACCACTCTGTTTTCTAAAGCATTGATATAATAAGGAGAAATTTCATTACATTAGAGACTTTAAGATCCAACGACGCGACGGCAGTGAGAACGTCGCTTAAAAAGTGAATTTGCGCTCTTTCATTGTTTATCGCAATTATTCTTACCCAATTACTTTGTCAAATGTAGGCGAACCCTCCTGGAGTTGAATTCCTAGGCACCATATCCAAATACAGAAAGAGAAATAAAATTTCGTCGTTGCTTATTTACGCCCTCAATAAAACGCGAAATTAGGCATGTTCAACAGCAAGTGGTAACGTTTGCGCATGCGTGAGTCTTGCTGGGAAGCACTTGTTGACCGGAAATCGTAATGGCCGAAAGCTGTCCTGAAGCACTTTCAAAGGAGATTTTTTTGCATACCCAGTCAATAGCAGACATATGTTATAGGTTGGATACTTTGGCTAAGCCATGTTGAAGTGTCATGTATGGAAGAAGGACCATTTAGCTGGTTAATTTTCATCCATTTGGCTCCTCTGATGAAGCAGATAAAGCGTTCACGAGGTCGTTTGTTGTGATATGTTGATTTGTTGACATTCGAGCGGTCACGGATTTATGGGTTATCGTCCATGATCTGCAGAGCTGCTTAGCACTTAGGTAAGATATACCCCTTCATTTACTTTGTGAAATGTGGAGCAACATCATCGAATGTTATGTGTTAAAATTATAGCAGCCTGAATTCAACGCAATTTATGTGACCCCCGTATTTTTGTAGTATTTGACCCTGACCGTACAGCGAGATCCAGTTATATATCCCACACAAACGACTAAACAGGTTAAACGTCTCTTTCGGTCACTCCGTATTTTCACTTTTAATGGTTCATTCAAAGGGGGGAAGTTCGAGTATTTTGATACTATTTAGCGGCATGAAATCAACGAGCAAATTTCCTGCTCTTACAAGTAAGGCCGTAGTCGGATGTTTCCTTCCGTTTTCGAAAATTTGCTTTTCTGGTTTACATTGGTGCTCCATGGCGATTACTTATTCTCGGAGATTAAGAGATCGAGGCAGTGGATCGTGAAATATTATTTACTAAAACTTCGTTTAAGATAGACAAATTTTTCTTGTCCTTTTCAACCTTGTTTTCAGATTTTTCGTGAACATGTAAAAGTATATCCCAACAAAACTTATTTGTAAAAGCATTGTTTCGGAACACTCTTTCATTCTTGAATGTTTGATTTTGCATCCAAGGGGGGGAACACTGATGAATTTGCGTTTTAATAATCATGCACTGTAAGCTCTAAGATTCATTGACAAGAACCCTCACCATTTTGGAAAATGATTATTCTATGATGATTTTGTTTATACATATAAAATTGGCGCCTAAAAGAATTTTAATGTTATGCTTAAATTGTTTACATATTGTCTTGAAACATAACTGAAATCAATATAAAATATGAAAATACACATATGTGCATTCTTTTCCCTGCCCTACTATAAAATATGATAAGTGTGATTTAATGCATTTTCATGTGACCATTATGATATTACTCCCACTTTGACACTAGCACAAGTTCAAGCGCAAAACAATTCTTTGCCTTGTTCAGCTTTTCACTTGCTGGACTACCATTCCTGTTTGAAGCACAGACTACACTGGACATGAAATCTGTGAATTTGATTCCTTGCATTGGCATCCACATAAGAATTAGCTCTATCACATACAATGTATTTGTATGCTAACAAAAATCATAAAATATAATGTTATCATTCCTTTTCTATCCAAAAGATTTCTTTCCTTCTTGAATATAAATTCGTATCCATCACACTTTGGAAATTCTGAATATCTAAAGGGGTATCACTAGTTGTGTGCAACAACAAAATGCCATAGGAGTAACTTTCCACTCTCCGCTAGAAATAATTCTTTTGATACTCTGGGTCTCATATATTCAGTGTTTGTGCACATGAATTTAGGAGCACTTATGGCTTGCCAATGTCAGTTTGGCTGTGTATACACAGTAGTAGTGTATATAGTCATCTATCATACACTACACAAGTTGCAATTGATGCTCCTGGTGTTGCAAGATGACAAGTTATGGAAAATGTCATTTGCCTTTTGCCTGTTGCAGGAGCTCCCTATGAGATGCTCAGCACAAAACCTTGTTGATTCAAGTGATAGTCATTGAGGACGACTGCATCGTCACATTCAAACCAGTTGCACTTTTCACTCAAGCCATAGCAGAGCTGGTACAAAATGGCGACTATCTGTCTTTTATTTAACCCTATGCTGTCTGCAGAATGTGAAGGGTCTGTCACTCCATCCTGAACTGCATCAAATAGGCTTGGTGCCCCAGAAGACACACAGACAAGCTTTAATTTTATTGAGTCATACATTGGCTCACTTGAAGCTATCAGGCTTTAAGATCCTTAAGTTCTCCACATGTTGAAATTGAATGAAAAGGAAAAGTTAGAGCTAATTTTCTCTCATTTTCAATTTCTTAATCTTCAAATCATAAGAACTTAGCCCCAAATAGATATGGGTTAGTCAAGGGAGCTACGCCTTATTAGTTATATATTAAATAATTAACACATGTGCAGTAAAAAATACCATCAACAAAATTTCTGAAAAGCAAAAATGAGTGCAAGCATGGAAGTACCAGAAGCAGAAAACTCACTTCAATATCTCAGGGAGAAAATGCAGTTTTAAATATGACTTTGATCTTTACTATTTTAAGTATTTTCACTGTTGTGTGCATGCATATTTGCAGTTTTCTAGTATGTAGAAGTGTGGGGAGTAAAGGGAAGGATTTTTCGTTGTTAGGGTTACCTCAATAAAACACATCTGTAATATGACACATCTTGTACCACTCTCCTCTCTTGGCTCATCTAATTCTTTATTTTAGAGGTATAAGGGGCATCTTGGATTCAAGAGCCTCCATATTACAAAATTCTGCCTACACCCCTGAATAAGTTAAGGCATCACATACATTTAATAGATGTCATTTCTAGAGTTTGGGTCTTTAGTTTTATATCATCTAGTCAAAAATGGAAAGATACAATTTCATAGCCCTGGGTGGGATATCTTTGAAATTTTATCAGTCACAGAATCAGGGCACTGCACCTCGTCTGGACACTGGTGGTTAGGATAGGGTATCTCTGAAAATTAATTACTGGCAGAATCACTGCACTAAGGTTGCACATCTCTAAACAACAAGGCGTTCCTGAACCATAACTGACGTGGAATCGTATTATTGCAAGGAGATTGTCGCATAGCATTTAGAATTTTTTTTCACAGCGTTTTATTCAAATCTTAAGCGTCGGACGTTTTGTACTCGGTCACAACTTATGTGAGGAGATTTTTTCCCAGTTACGCAGTGCTTTAATAGAGGAGTTTTGTAGCTGTTACACAGAACCCCATCAAAGCGTAAAATTGTGAATGATCTGCGACTTATTAGCCTTGAGACCAATCTCGCATATTACACGGAAGACTTTGTCTTATCTGCACTCCACAAAAATAGAACAGATGACTAAGACGATGGTAATTTTTAAGAGAGGCGCCATTTTTCTTTGCTGTGTTCGCTGCGATCCAATACCACCACAAACTTCCGTCCAGCGGCTCGCGCATACTCGCAACGTTACCACTTGCTGTTGGCATGTTCACGTCGTAGTCGTGCAAAAACAGGCAGAGAAATGTACAAAAAAGCGTGGTACACGTGCAAAGTCGTTGTTTTGCTAATAAAACCTACTGTTTTTTGACGTTCTTGTTGCCGTTCGCGTCGTTGGATCTTAAAGCTTAAAGTCCCTATTGACTCTTGTTTAAACCTCTTAACAGCAGCAACTTTCTTTTGTCCTCAAGAGGTGGCCATTGTACAGAGGTTCAACTGTAGTTGAAAGATATAACAAGGAAACAGCACGAACAAGACGAATAAACGCAAAAACTAACCTGAATGAAGAAGAGAGATTCTGTGTGTAATAAGTAACATTGAATGAATTAAAAGTAGCCTTTTCAGCCTTTTAAATCCTTACGTGACACGCCTAGTAGGGAAAAGCCCCAGAACTGCAATTCATCTTGTGGGAACGTCAAACCAAATAAGGCTCCAATATATTGTCCATCTTATTGTGTTAAGATTGCGAATGTTATACATTTTCAAAACCGAAAATATGATGCTACGCCAAGGAAGACAAAGAATGCCATTAAATCAGCGCTACTTCGTAATTAACCTTTTGAGCCCTAACAGTGATCAGCATCAAATTTCTCCTTCTAATATCAATGCTTTATAAAACAGAGTGGTCATGAGAATTACGGACATTATCACTCAAGATGAATTTGTTTGATATTTTATCAACTTCTCCCCACTACTTCTGTGGGAAATGAATAGGGGCAACAAATGAGAATTCAAATTTTGATCTTATATAGGGTTTAAAGGGTTAAAACAACGGTGACCCTTGCTCTAACTTTGTATTCATAACTGGAGGGAATTAGGGATTCAGAATCTTAATAGAGGCACCCAAGGAATTCAATAGTTACCGTGAAGAATCTGTTCGGAAAAAAGCTAGGTCATCCGTTAAGTCCTGAGAGTGACAACATCAATTTTCTCCCAAAATAAAAATACATAATCGAGAGAAAAAGTTATGGGAACTGATAAAATGATCATCACAGGGGAAAAACTTTGATCTTATATCAAATTCTCTTAAGGAATTCTATAAGGAAATGTATAGAGGTCAGTCTGGAGAATTTGTATGTGGATATCGGGACTTAAAGGGTTAAGCTAGAGTTTCAACCCACGATTTCGAATTTTGGGTCGTTGAGTTGGGTGCGCGAGAATTGTCTCGTTTTGAACGGAAGTCAGGTTTTGTGAGATACACTAGCATTTCCATCGGACACATTATACTATGGCCTTAAATGATGAAAGCGTTTCTGAAACAAAAAGTTTTTTTTCTCGAGGATTCTAGCCTTACTTACCCCTGCCTCTTTGAAAAACATCCGGGAAAATGCCCTAGTAGAGCACTGCAATATTTGTGCTATATAGGTAATTACCGCTGTTAGGGTGGACTTCAAGCGGAATTGGAGGTGTATGTGTAGAATTAAGTAATTGTAAACTTTTTCCGAGTGGCTGGTGGCCTGATTTAAACACAAGAGGACCCTTGTACAAGCCATTTAGACTTAGCCGAGTTCCACTACTTACTTGCAGCTTAGATACTTGCGAACAAGTCGAGAGAATTTAGAGAGATTAGAATTAAGAATAACTGCAAACGGCAAGAGCGTAATACAATCTGTCAAATGCGGAAATGAGAGCAGATTAAAAAAACTTGGCTTTGAAATCTGTTGATTCTTTTTAACAACATAAAAATGATCTAAGTGCTACAATCATTGCAGTTTTGTTCTGGAGGATTCTAGCATTACTTACCCTTTCCTCTTTCGAAACACCCGGTAAAGTCCCAAGCTCGTAGAGCATTGCAATATTTGTGCTATAAAGGTATCTGCCGCTGTAAAGTGTAGACTTCAAGCGGAACCAGAAGTGTTTGTGTCGACTGATTATGTAATTCTAGACTTTTTCCGTGTGGCTGGTAGCCGGATTTAAACGCAATAGGACATTTGTACAAGCAATTTAGACTTAGCCGAGTTCCACTACCTACTTGCAGGCTTAGATGCTTGCGAACAAATCGAGAGAATTAAGAAAGATTAGAGTTAGAATTAGATCTACAATTACGAATAACCGCAAACGACAAAAGCGAGATACAAACTGTCATATGCGGAAATGAGAGGAGATTAAAAGTTGGCTTTGAAATCTTTTGATTCTGTTTAAGGGGGAGACCATTTAACTCTTGAGTGGGGGGGGGGGGGGGGGGTTGGTGGGCTGATTTCTGGTCATCAAGAATTTTTTTTCGAGCAATCTGGTGGGCAGGATACTTTTTTCCCTTTTTTTCCCACAAGCTTTCTATTACATTTGTGCTGCATGCAATTTTTTTCTTCCGACAAGCGCTTGCAGGAATTTTTTTTCAAAATCACTCACCCCCCCCTCCCTCAAGAGTTAAATGGTCGGCCCCTAACATCATAAAAATGATCTAAGAGCTAAAATCATTGCTAAAAGCAGTTTCCCGGCTCTTTTTTGCAATGTCTGTATGGGGAAATACGTGGCAATTTTTAGTTTGTTCGGAGCACGATTTCACGTTTGTAAGCTCAGTTCTAAAGACTTGACTCCCTTTAATTTAAGAAATAAGGTTACCTGAGTCTCACTGGTGGATGCAGTTTGTTGTATGGGGCAGCCCCTTATCATATCAAACGTGCCCGAAGTGAGGAATATGATTTATTTCAGATTCAGTTGCGTCTCTTTAAATAAAGCTCGCGTAAGTTTGTTGCTATAATGAAAGGTAAAATTTGTCATCGGTCCAGTTTCATTTTGTTGCCATACCAGGTAGCGAGGAAAGAAGGGGAGGAATAAACCTGCGTTCAATGATTATGGTACCCTTTAAAAAAAGTCACATGCCGTAACGAGGAGAAAAACGAGGAGACAGGTTTAATCGAAAGGCATAGGACGAATTCACGCAGCTAGCCGCGGGATTTCCTTCAAGGGAAGCCCCACCTACTTCCCCTTCAGTTGGGCATGTCGGATCATTATACGTTTCCGGGAAACTGCCCACCTACCCCTCTCCTAAGCCAACCGTAACGCTTACTTCTCACTTAGGCAAAATTTAATTTTGGCTTCGGGGAGGGGTAGGTGGGAAATGTCTGGGGGGTCTCCCATATTGGAGCATATCGAAATCGGGGATAACAACATGATTACTGATGAAAGTGTCATCAGCCGTGACAATTCTTCTTATCGATTAAAAGTGACGAGAAACGTATACGACAAAATTATCATTTCAGTTTTCTGCAAGCAGCGCGCGGAGTTTCCCTGACGATTAAGCCCGATACACACGAGGGATTTTGCTCCCGGAGCATGCTCCAGGGGCACGCTCCGGGAGCAAAGCTCCTCCGGTGTGTATCAACGAGTTCATGGGTATACTTCATCCTCAAGAGCAGAATTTCCGCCCCGCAAAATGCTCCTCGATATTCAACCGGTTAAATATTTGGCAGAAAGCGCCCGGGGCAAACTGAGCGAACTTGAAAACGCTCCCTCGTGTGTGTACTGACACGTGCAAAATGAGCCTGGACATGCTCCGGGAGCAAAACCTGTCGTGTGTATCGACCCTTAGACGTCGATTTGTCGCCGGAGCTTTCGCCGCGCGGGGAACCTTGCGAGACCAAAGTTGCTACAGAGGTAGAAAAGGGAGAAATAGTCTACGCTCGGTTTCTGAAACTCAAATTAATTTTGATGCAAAGTTATCATGCAGATGAAATATTTGCTTTTATACCCTTCTGAAGTGACTTTGTTCTTTTTGTTTGTTCAAAAGAGCCAGTCGACAATTTCGTGGGTGCTTTTGTGTGACTTTCATTTCCACTACAACGGCTTAATCCCCTTGGGCGTTGAAAAATGACATTTGCACGAATTTGCATCCGCCGGCTTGCGTTCGTATCTGGTAATTCAAATGTAAATATTGGGCTTTTTTGATTGATAAAAACTGTCAGAAAAAACAGCATTGACGCTGCAAGCAGCTCTTCCGCTATTCCAAGAATCAAGTTATGAGACGTTATAAACGTTATTCTTATATTACAAGTCAAGTGATAGCTCTTGTTCTACCACATCCACCTAAACGCCACCTTGTTGAAAATAGAGTACAACGTATTCAGAGAACATGTTGCCGTCATTTTCCTGATTTCTTAAAAACGACGAAAGCTTGGCCGCCTAATTAAAATGAAAATGCAAGACTTCTACCACGGGGTCACCCTTTAGAGCAACATCAGTCCTTTACATAAGCTGCATAAGTTGAATACGTGACTAATTAACCTACTGTTTGTTGTGAGTGAGTCAATATTTGAACTTACACAGCAATTTTACACAATGCATTTCTAAATACGTTACTAACCTTCCCGTCGAGACAGACCAGTGCTTGGTTTTGCTGTGGGCCACGCAGTTCCGTCGTCTTATAAACCTTGAGAGGAGCTGCTGCGTAGGAGACGGTAACATCGGCAGTGTGATCAATGCATATCAAGTGTTTTTTAATGGTCACATAACAGCGCATTGCTAATGTGACGTCATTTCGATTTCCGTTTCCGGCAATACGCCCACTAGACAGAACTCTCAAAAACATACTCATCGAACGTTTACCCTTCGAAAGCCATTTAGTAACTACATCAGTCTTATCGAACTTAGTGCAGTTTCGTACGTGGTACATGATTTTGGCTAAATGACCTCTATCTCGTTCGGGTAGTTCAGTGATTCACGACAAACTGCATGCATGAATTGGTGACTTGTTCACGCAATATTGATTAATATCGGCACGCGGTACGATGTAAACAATAACTATAAATTATCCGTGGTATTAAAGAAAATCAGTGCCTTGGTATAAATTACGCTCTATAAGAACTATGTAGACTCGCGTTTACTTCGATTCAAGAGGTTTGAAGATTCACTGAAGATTTCCCGACGGGATGCGCATCTCACTTTTGGATTCGCGCGGGTGACGTTGTGATATGCAAATTAGCTGAGAAATGGTATCCAATGCACATGCGCACCAGCTGACTGTGTCCCTTTAAATAAAACATCATTACATTAAAAAAGCTGTGCTATATTTATGTGTATATATTAAGAAATAACTGATGCACAACTGAGAATCAGTGCTGTGTTAATTCGACGTCATGGCACGGCCAACTTGAATGAGAGGCCAGTATCAAGTAAAGCGAGTGGTCCATTTTGCAAAGTGAGTAATTATAAGTATCTGAAGTATTTCAGTGTTGATTAAAAAATTTCCGTCAGTTTCTCCTTCTCGCTTGCATCATATATACGCCGCTTGCAGCTCGGTTTTGCCTTTTACATGTTGATTTGAAGAGACTGATATGATATTTGTAAAGGATGCCACAGGGATCCCTGTATTAAGTCAAACTATAAAATAGCTAAAAATAACAAGAAAGTACAATGTAGCCTGAGTATAAGTCCTTCCTTCCCTGTTCACTTCTCTCTTCTCTTTCTCCCGCAGAAACAATACTCAATAAAAATAAAAGACAAACTGCGGTAACAAACGTGATGAAACAACGCACGTTGAAAAAAAAAAAACTAATGCAATCAACAATACAATACAGTACTTTATTCAAGAGATAAAAACTGAAGTTACGGTTACAAAATGTCTAGAGGTTAACCCCATATAAAAGATTCCCCAAAATAAGAGATGAACAGCTAAATTCTAGAATCTAAAACATTAAATACAGAGAGAAAAATCTAAAACCTAAAAAGCTAGAATAAAAAACATCATTTGCATATCATAATAAAAACTATTTACAATCGTATCAATATTGGTATAAATCCTTAATCTGTTACGAAATAAAGTCAGCGATCCTAAGTTTTTAAAGAGTCGACGTTTCGTATGTAACAACAAACATCTTCAGAAGTGACGGTTATTAAAACAGATTACACAGTAAAATTTAAACATCGAGAAAAAAAAACTGGAAGCTAATAAACAGGTAAAAACAATAACTAATAACAACAAATGATGATGACAGACTCAATTTAAAGTCTGCATGGAATTATAATATGTGATGCTTTTTCTCTACTAGCGTCATATATAGAGGATATTACATGGCCGCGTGGAGATACGAAATTTCTCTTCGAGTGTTGAAAAATTTTTCAACACGAGAAGAGAACTTTCGTATCTCCAAGCGGCCATGTAATGTTCTATTTATTATATAAATACCAATGAACTACCAAACCATTTCACTTTAATAGTTTTTTGGTGTGAAAGGGCGCGATTTATTATGAAGCCATGACAACATATTTTCACACGTGAAGATATCAAGTTTTCGCCCGAAGGTATTTCATTGGTGTTTATATAATAAATTGTAATTTCCTGCAGATTCAAATTGAGTCTTTAAAATCTTAGTTTTTTGCAACATGCGTTGTTTCATTACGTTTGTGACCGCGGTTTGTGTTTAATTTTTACTGAAGTTGAAATGCTCGAAGAATAACATGTATAAAGTGCAATGAAACCCTGTAAACACGAAAACTTTAGGGCAGTGCCAAATCCCAAGGGCGGGAGGGGAGGGGGGAGGGTGTCGGAGGGTGGCTATTATTTTAAAAGAACGGAGATGCTCGTCGTAGAATAAGAATTAAAGGAGACCGTTGTCTAAGCCACTTGAGGAGTGGATCATACACCAACATAGTATTTAATGACGTTTGTTTCACTTTTTTAAAATAGAAATTTTCTTACGGACAAGCCGAAGAGATATCTTTTAAGAGTTAAAATATTGGCTTTGGGGCTATTTGCATCAAATCTGACGTCACTGAGAAGTAACGGCTGACGTAATGTTATTCAAAAGTGCTTTATTCGTATTTTGCCGTTTTCCCACCTTATTTAGTATTTCATAGGCCGGAGTTTGGTTGTTTTATGCTAAGGAAGATTTTTTCCAGAAAACTGGTTGATAGAGAGTTTGACTAGCTGGACTGAACTTTAAAAGTTAGTTGTACGGTCCGACGCAAGATAACTGGGGGCGAAACGTCGTAGCCTATCCATTAGACATTGTCGTTGTCGTTGTTGTTGTTTCTTTTTTCATTTACTCACCTCCGACACCTTAATTACGCTAACGATCACATATTAGTATAGGTAATAGCATGATTTGTAGTGATATTTGGCATAAATACCACGAGTGATATTTCAAAATTGTTACGCCAAATTTCACAAGCCGTCGGGCGAGTGAAATTTGAGACAATTTTGAAATATCACGAGTGGTATTTATGCCAAATATCATGTACAAATCATGCCATTATTTGTTTATACTTCTTCCCGCAAAAGGTTTGTAATTTTCATATGTAGGTATTTCAAATTAAGCTGAAATACCACTGCTCTAAGCCAATGAGATTGCAGAAATTTCTCATGTAGTAGTATAATAGGTAAAAGAGGCGAGGGAAATTATTAGAATTTGGACAAAACATGAGTGAAATTATTCCCTTAATTTTCAATCTCACCATTTTATTTCACACCACTCTCTTATCAGCGTCCTCGTCGTGGTAGTGTACGCTTTACATTTGTAGTTTCTTGATACACATTCAGTGAAAACATCATTGTTAGCTTGAATATAAGCCTATTCAGTGATCTTATTAGAATAAGTTGGAATTCAAAAATCTAAATGAATTCATGCTCTAATTGTATTACTTTTTTCCAAATATATGTATAAACTTGTTGTGGTTCAATTTTATCCTTGGTTTAAATGTTATTTCCCTTTGTTTTAAACTAATTAGCATACATTACCAGCCCCTAAAACTAAGGGAAATAAGATTTATATAATCTAATTAAGGATAAAATTGAACCCCAACAAAAACAATAAATTAGTTTATTATTAAAAAGTGGTTGGACGGTTAAGACCGACGGCAAGCCCAACTATAGTTACGTGGCGTGTTGACAAAATCGGCTCCTCACAAACTCTAAGGCCTTTCCCTTAAAGCAATTATCGTTAAAATGCACAACCATGCAAAAAGCCTCTTTTGAGGGTCTACAACAGGGTTGCCGTCATCCCGACCCAAATTTTCGCCCATTCTCGAAATCCCCATGGCTATTTTTGACATCCCACCTAGCGTGTATACGTTTTAATTGCCCTATGATGCAATTTTGATTCTTCTTCTTAAAATGGCTTTGCCGTGATTCTGTATGTACTTGTACGGTCATACAAATAAAGCTCGTTGTTGTTGTATCCCGATCTCGCCTCAATTTACTTCAAAATCCCGAATCCTGAGATTCAAATGAGGGAAATCCCGGATCCCGAGATTCAAATGAAGGAAATCCAAGATCCCGAGAAGGGAAATCGCGAATCCCGAAATTCAAATGGGGGAAATCACGAGTCCCGATATTCAAGTGAGGGAAATTCCGGATCCCGAAAAACCTACTGGGGACCCTCCTCTATGTGTTAGGTGCTTAACGTCGGAACCGCTGGCGGACCACCTCTTCTGTTGGCATGGCGACACTCAGCACGTCGGCGAAAATCAGTAGCTTGGGTGAGATAGGTAACTGCTGGCATTCTAGTTTAACGAAGCCGAAATATTCACTTTTTTTGCTTTTTCCCGGCTTTGGTATCCTGTAGTACTATCTTAACGAGGCTACGAATATTGTTTTGCCAGTTTCTTCCAAAACGTGTCAAGGGATTTCATCAAAGTAGAAAATGTAGTCCGTGTGGCTTTTGATTCCCAAGGTGCTTCGCGACATGAACAGTGTGTCTTGGAGCACGTGGGGTCGCAGACAGTTCCCTTGGGGCAACAGTGCCAGCTGTCCCCACAATCCATTGCGTCCTCTAACATACAACAGCCAATAAAGGAATTGGAATACTCGTTAATACAACAGGTCGTGTTCGCAGGGCAGCCGGTCAACTGTCGTATGTCTTGCATCGATTCTTCTGTATGCTGTACGCAATACTTTCTTGAGTCCATATTATCATTCCTTTCCTTAGAGGCTGCTTAGACAAGAGTTCAAAAAATTAATACACAAATAAATTTAATTGATAAATATAAATTAGTAAAAAAAATAATTGTAAATGAACGAAAATTTGCTAGCCTGCGAACAAGCTCTTTCTCGCGAGGCTCGGTTCGCTTGCCCAAATAGGAGAGCTTGCTCGCAGGCTAAAAATTTGCTCGTGAAATAACCGCTAAACAAGTTGTACCTAAAAGTGAAGTCTAAAATATCATAACCACATTTAATTTAAATGAATTGGAAACGACGCGCGTTGAGTAAATTTTCCCAAATATACAAATGATTAATCTATAAAATTTTGGTACTGCCACGTAAGCTTTTAATTTTTATAACAACTTTCTGAATCATTTGTATTTCTTTTTCTTTATTACCTTTCAATCTCCTTTTTCTTTCATCAGTATCTTTTTTCAATAAACTTTTAAATCCTTTAGAGACTTCCTTAGCCAAACTCATATAGCCATCTCCGTTTAGATGCTGTGGACGTAAAGAGAGAATTAATCAGGTCATGACCACAAACCAAGTTTTAAGACCTTTTAAAAATTACCGAACCGTTTAGCGTCCGATCGTGAAGAAACAAAAGCCTTGTAAGTTTATTAATTATTCATTAAAATGATGATGGATTAAGAATATAATAGGGAGAAACAAATGCACTCCTGTAAAAAGCGGATTTTTTTTAAATACAGTTCCTACTGATTGTTTCGTTTCACAGGAACATTAAAATATTTGCTTTAGGGGCGTAACTTACTTGTGAGGGCAGGTTTTGGGGCGACAGCACGAAATGCGAGGTGCTAGACAGGCGAGAGGGGTCTTTTTGAAGAGAAAAACAAAAACGTCTTTGGACAGGCTTCTATTAGGCTGTGTCTCTCCGTTCTTGATTGCCAAAACCCACCAGAGCGTCCCAAATAACGCCTGTTGTGCAGGCTATATTCGCTTGCAAATCCTCTCGCTCATTCTTATATATTTAGAGGATAGATCATGGAAGTAATAACAAAAGACGCGTTATGAAATCATGAGCCAAGGGTGGTTTCGCATCAATTATGGGTTCTTGAAGGATTGATGACGCATCTTTTGATGAAAAAAAGTAGTCACAGTCCCCAAAACGTGGGTGCGCCATATTGACAATACCACAACAACAATGACAACTACAACTTAAAATTATTGAGTCATACAAACATTTGTGTGGTGAGGGAGACAATCGCAAAGTGTTATCTCCCCGGCCTTAGCCTCGACCTCGATTATTCCAGATATCACAAAAACCTCATCCGATATTTTACTTAACAATTATTCCGCGAGCCCGAATGGGCTATTGACTCAGAGGCCATGAGGGCGAGAGGAATGACTGTTTTAGTAAAATCCAACTAGTTGGTCAAAAATATCGAAACAGAACAACATTAGCTAGCAAAATACGATTCAGTCACCAATCTTTTTGTTTTCAAAGCCGGCGCTTTTCGCTACTAGCGGGCTATAACATATAGCCGTAGTAGTAGCTAAACCAATCAGTACCCAGCATTGAAAATAGACCTCTAATTGGATTTTACTAAATACTGATATAATTTTCACGCGGCTTAGGACTTACCAATTCTGGTTGCTCTAGGTACAGATCACATTTGCTCAGTGCTTCATCACTGCATTCTTCAATGACGGCTTTGTAAAGATCAACTATGTCAATTGGGTCATCTCTTTCCATTTCTCTAGATCAAATAGATCAAAAGATACAAGTTAAAAAGAAATAGAGCAGTATTTTGGTCTTAATCCCCCTTCAGCGAATACACTCGTAGGCCATTAAAAGCGATCACTCTGTTACTAACATGACTAAGGTGCTTATCAAGATTATATATCGCCTTAAGAGAATCTAAGCCAGTCTTGGATTCTGGATTCTGGATTCCAGGTAATGGAGTCCGCAATATTTGTCAGTGGAACTCCGATTCGGGATTCCAATCCTTAGTAGGATTCCGGATTCCTTGAGCTGTAGTCCGAATTCCAAAGCCCAGGATTCCTTGTTCCAAAACAAACGGAGTACACATGCATGTATTTCGGATTCAGGAATGCGGATCACAAGAACAGCAACAACAACGAACAGGGCGCAAAGACAGCAAGAAAACTTAAGCATTTGAAATTTATAACGCCATTTTTAGTCGCTCAAAAGGTGCGGAAAGCGCTTTAATTCCACTGCCAGGATAAATCCCTATCCCCCGGGGATTAGGTAAAACAATTGTTTGCCCAATCGATGGTGGTTTATCCAGTGAATATCTTTATTGGCAGAAGGGGGATCAGTTTGCTTTTTAATCCGTCCGTTATGAGCGAATCAGTTTGGAGATGTATCTACTCTGCAGTAGAGCGCGCATTGGCGTCAGAACTCAATAATTAGCTCGGGGACAGTTCAGAGTTCCGCTGCATAACATTAGCCAAGACGTTAAACAGTGTGACGGTAAGATTTTTCGCAAAAAAGAAGGAAAAAACACTTTTGTCTGTATATGTATTAAGCACGAAACTGTTAATTGGAGACACTATTCTTACGTCTCCATCTGGAGACGGGCCCGCCATTTTACGTATAATAATAATAATAATAATACTACTACTAATAATAATAATAATAATAATAATAATAGTAATAATAATAACAATAACAATAGCATTTAATTAAACAAGATAAAAATTCAGCAAAGCTGATGTAGTCGTATGCATAGCAATAAAAAACTTCCTAACTAATCACAATAAGGCTAATATAAGAATTCTACGTATTTACAATAACAAAAAATTCTACACAGTACATCATAATATATGTGGCTTAAAAATACACTTGAGTGACTAGTTAAAAGTCTCAATGTCATGAATTGATCTCGTCTGGTTTTCGCGAGCCTCGCGAAGGTTTAGCTTACAGTGCAAAGGAAGTACTTTCATTTCTCAGTTATTTTAAGACTGTGGGTATTGGTCCGGTTCCGGAAATCGAACCCAAGACCTCCCGTTCTACAGCCAAGCGCTCTACTTACTGAGTTATTCCTATTGCGTCAACTTAGGTCCCTGATGCCAGATTTAGGCCAGGCCATCTAACCACGCAACTAGACAACTATAAGATGAAAATTCTACCTTTAAGTCTTACTTAGTGGCGGCCTTGTTGTATTCCTGAAGTATTTCGTTTGCTGTTTCGTTGTAAGGAACTGGCGTGGAAGTTGCGAAAGCAATCATAGCTCCCGTTTTTAGCAACTTTTCCTTTATTTTCCTCAGATTTTTTGCGTATTTCTTCAAGGGAACGTACTGTCAAAGAAAACAAAAACATATGGTACAAGATTACTTTATAGAACATCATGCAGTTTATGAACTTCATATGTTAATAACTCTAACAAGTATTTGATTGGATGGTAAAATATACGTAAGTTACTAGGAAATTCAGAATTGATTTGCGTCTACTGCTCAATGTTAGTATGTTGTTATAACAGTTGTAAAGTAAAACCATTGTTGACTAAATAATTCATGAAAGATATTGTTTGTGTTACTATAGTCACTCGAGCGCCAATCACTAGCAACTACGGTGGTACTAACAGTTCACGCTCAGTAAATCGAAACCAGCGGCTGATAGAGACCCGCGGTACGCGCTTGTCAAAACGTCGCCATGAATAATTGTTATAATTGACGTAATTGGTCAGAAAGGATTTAGAGTTTCGTTTTACCTCTCGCGGGAATCCACAGCAGTTAATATCGTGAAGTCCAGAATTGAAAATAATCGCATCGTAATTGACTGGCTCATAGACACTTGACGATAAAAACATTGGCAGGCACTTAAGGAGATAACTCGTGTCCAGGCTTCCCCCGTCACCCGACCAGGGAGCATGATGAACAGTACAATCATCTTCAAGCAAATCAGCTACATACGAAAAATATCTACAGAGAAAGAAAATATACACCTGTAGATTATAGGGGTACCAATTTCAGGCTTCAGCTATACGAAAAGGAAAGGGATTTCCCTCATTTAAGTATATGGAAGGGTAATGAAATCGTCATTTAGGTCTGTTATAACGAAATTCGTTGTATCGTGCTGCGCGTTTTGCAAACTTAGAAAGGATTTTGGGTTTGTCTGTTCCGTCAATCACTTAATTAGTGAAGGCGGGGTTAATGCAAATCGCAATGTAACGTGCTCGCCCAGCTTGGCTGAGAATGACTCTACACTGCTCACAATAGGAAAGGAAATCGCGATGGTGAGTACGGAGGAGGAGGCAGACGTTGCTTTATTCTTGCAAGTGACAAGAATGAGAAAGATCATAAAAATCTGCGAAACATTATTGCACGAAACAAGACGATCACAAAGCAACGAACCTTGAAATACGAAACAAACAAAACGGATCGAGATCACCAATCACGAATCACAAACCATGACCTTTTGAACTCGTGCAAGTAAACATGTATTTCCTAAGAGGTCCGCTAAGATGATTGACGGAACAGATATGCAAAACGCGCAGCGTGATACAACGAATTTCGCTATAAAGGGTCCCTAAAATGTGATGGAGAGAGGAATTTGAAAATGTCTCACTTTCGTAATACGTCAAATTTCATCTAAAATTTTCGGGAAAATAATACTCAAGCCCTTGTAATTTCGAAAAGACTCAAGTTCTCCTAGGATGACCGAACAGATACAAATTTTACAGCGCCGCTTAGCATGCATTTCTGTATAGCCTAAAAAGTGTTTTCAATGTATTTAGGACGAAATCGTCGTTAGGTGCCCTGTATACGCAATTGTATTTTTTTTCTCCCGCATCCCATAATAATAATAATAATAAATGATAATAATAATAATAATAAACTTTATTTATAATTTATAGCGTCTATATCATTAACTGTTCTACGCACTTTGCAAAAAATGTATTAAAACTCTAAAAAAATATAACAACTACATATACAAGTATGAAAAATAAGTAAAAATCTATTTATAAATTAAGAAAAAGCTTGGTGAAATAAATACTGTAAAATTCCAAAAATAAGCCCCTCCATGTATAACCCCCTCCAAATATAAGCCCCCCAAACTCGTAACGCAAAAAACCCTCCGTTAAATCGCCCCGCAAATATAAGCCCCCCGGGGACTTGTACGTGGAAATTCCCTCAAATACAGAGTAAAACAAAGTAAAAACAGTAAATTTCCTTCAAACTATAAGGCTAGCCCAATCAATTTTGAAACGCAAATTTCCCTCCAAAGATAAGCCCCTCCGAATGTAAGCCTCTCCAAAAATAAGCCCCTCAAAAAGGGCCTTTGAAAAATATAAGCCCCAGGGCTTATTTTCGGAATTTTACGGTATGTTAGTCATTAACTGTTTTTCGAAAGAATTCAAGGAATCGGCATTTCTTAGCTTAAAGACGCGGGTATACTGTTCCATAATTTAGGTCCTGTAATAGAAAATCATGAGACTTTAGCTTAGATCTCGGGACTTGAAGTAACTTATATTGAGCAAGAACGCAAAGAGTAGGAGCTGCTACAAAAACTGATCAAATTGGATCTCATGCCAGTCAAAGCATTAATGCAAGCAACAAGAGGTGGTAATAGGTAATACGGTCATAGAGCGAACATACCCAATGCTTATTGAGTCTCCCAAGATAAGACATTTCTTTTCTTGTTCTACGGTTGTTGACCCAGACTCGTCCTGAGTGTCGTGAAGAGGGCCAGGTCGACATATTCTTTCTGCGTCAGTCATATTAGATGGTATAAAATCCAATAGCCTGATATAAGTGGATTCAATTGTCAGTTGCTTGTTGAAGCATTTAACAAGAAAATTTAAACTTAAAACGTTGCTCGACGTTTCGATGTTTCGAACATTATTCTCAAGAGTGAGAAATGTTAAGTTTCAAATGTGTTTTAACATTACTCGTTCTTGAGAATGATGGATTCAAAAGTAATTATTGAATACAATCTTTAAAAAAACACTCTTCCCTAGCTCTCCATAGAAATTGTTTAGGTCACCCTTTGCGGTTAATAAAACCCCATCCATTGCTTTCTAGGGAAGATATTGCTCGTTTAGGGTAGTAGTGAATAGGCCTGTTTCGAATAAATTCTCACAGAATTATTCGTCTAAATCAGAAACTGAATCTGTTCTATTCCCCTCAGCCCCGGGCCCTATAAATTCTAGCCGCTCGAATCTGGCTAAGACCAATATAGCATAGTCAGTCACATGGCAATCTCTCCACTAGTGCTCCTTTTTACGGGTATTTGAAGATATTAGAGCTACATCGAAAGGAAAGAAGTCGAAAGAATGATTTGCTACACATGGGAATCGAATTCAGGACTTCCCGCACAGAAGGGGTCGCGCACTAACAACCGCGCTAATCCTTCTTCCTAAATAATAAGGAGAGATTTTACTTGCTTATGACACCAACATGGCCGCTGTTTCATTTTTTGGAGCGCCAATATGACCCCATGACGTCATGTGAAAACGCTCTACATCCTGGCCTGTCTACAGAGACAGATGGTTGGTCCGGAAGGCAAACGTAGAACATTGTAGGATAGCTCTGCGGGCAAGGTAGTAAAGGATAGAATAGGAAGAGGAGGGTGGGGGGTTGAAGTAGGAAAAGGTTAGATAAGATCAGAGAGTGAATATAGCAGATCAGTTGGGGAGGGCAAGATCAAGAATCGAACCGAGTTGTGATAACAAGATATTGTGGGACAGTCCATTTTACAGTTATAGATGGAAACGAGGCTGGAGTTGACCTTGTTTTGATAAAGCCCTTCCTGCTTTCTTTTGTAAATCACGTCGTTTTTGTGATAACTAGTATTTTTAAAGCGTTATCTCCATAAGAAATCAAAGAGGGTTTATATTAAAACAATAACTGGGAAAGGTTACTTTCATTTAACTCTAAAATGCCAATGGAATGGATCAGTGTTTTTCTGTTTTTTTTTTTTTCAGTCCTGAACCCATCAATCCAAACGTAGCTCAATATGCATGTACCTACTTTTTCATCGCCTCAAGAACAAGCCACTTTCCTAGTCTGCCTGTTGGGAAAGTTACACCGTGTAAATTAGCATTTTATGATAAAGCAGTTTCTAATGCTTTAATGTATTATTCTTCTAGCTTCTTTCCTAGGGATGGGTTGTTCGAAGCCTCTTGTTAAAATTGATGAAGCACCCATGAATGAAATGAGTTGTTATGGTAACAAAGCCTAGATTTTTGCGTAAATTAGTTTTTAATTTCTGTTGTATTAAAATTGAATCAAAGAATTCAGGAAGCCGCAACATCAATGTTGACATTTAAAAAATGGAATTAATTTTAAGCCACTGATAGGCGGTCCGGCTTACCTTCGACATCGTCGTCAACGGGAATAACTTTTTGTCCTTTAAACGTGTCCACTCCTTCCTCATTGTACATTGTTTTCTCTCCTTCGATGAATTCTCTGTTGCTAGCATTTGTCTCCGTTAATGAGTGCGGTTTAAGTACATTATCCTTTCTGCTCACAAAAGTCGTTTCAAAGTTGAATAGCTGACGCTTTATATCGTGCAGCAGAGGAATGAAGTCCTTATGAGAAGGTTTGGCACCTAATCTTTGTTCGATTGAGTTAATAATAGCATAGGCTTCTGCAAAATTCCACTGCTTTCCTGAAGAGAAAAAACATAGTGATTCAACATGATTAATAGTGCATTTGACTAATTCACTTGTACGGGTGAACATTCATTTTCAACCTCGAGGTCAAGCAGCATTGCGATTGATGATATCTCAGAAGCAGGTAGGTCGGTTGATCTTGAAAGATCGCCAACCCATAGATCTGGTAACGGTATGCATTTTTCTCATTTCGAATGGTGTCTAACGTTTCTAAACTAAGCTTATAGGCTATAGAAGCTCGTATAGACCGATTAATATAGCATGATCCACACAAAAAAAAACCAATTCAGATATAACAGTAATTTTGAGGTAAGTGAAAAAATATTTATACTTCACCTGCAGATATCTGAGCAAACGAGAACAACAAACCAACAGCGAAGACTTGAAGCATCTGTAGACGAATGTTGACAGTTCCACTCGTGGGTTAGAAAACATGTAGTATTTTTCGTTCTTTGGTTCTCAGAACAAACACTGGCACCTAATGAGATTGAAAATCTTCTCTGCGTTAATTGCTGGCTAAGAGGTGTCATGTCACATTAACAGCAGGTGCCTGCAGTGCCACCAGTTACAGTATGTTTAATTTGATACCAAAATGAATCTGCTTGGAGCAACTTCAGAGTACTGTCAAATAGGAGACGGAACAATAGTCTTAACCAAATTCCGCTGTGAAAATTATTACAGTCTGTTCATCGAGAAACTTGTTTCAGAACCCTCCGCAGTAAGGGCTTGGAAAAAACGCTTTTCAGAACTTTCCGATTGGGGTGATTGTTTTGTGAATATATACTCTGAGTCCTCCCCAAAAAATAAGCTTAGACAATTCACTTTTAAGGTTGTGCACAGAATAATCACGACAAAGAAAGAACTACTGAAATATAAATTAGCCTCGGATGATAAATGTCCATTCTGCCTTAATCCAGATTGAATTGAACACACCTTCTTGTATTGTCAAGAGTCAAAGGAATTCTTTTCCAAAACTTTAAGGTGGTTTAACGAATATCGTAAAGAGAACGTACAACTTTCATACAAGCAAATTGTGTTAAACTCAACGCAAACTTCGTCTGTTTGTTTTACTACAAAAGAAATACTTGAATGTGTACTTGTAATTCTGCGAAATGAAAAAAACGAACAAACAAACAAAAAAACAATCAAACAACACAAAAATGACAATTGCCCCAGTCAAATAAGAAGTCCTTAAATCATTCTTGCCTGCACTCCCGAACGTAAGTACACGGACAATAATTTCGAATTAAACGGGTCGGTTTCTTAACATTAATTGTTCCTCTCTCGTGAAAGGCAGTTTATGAAAATGTGGAACTAAACACATACAGCAAACAACGTATACGTTATGGTATTCTTGGGCAACTAATGCTCTCCCGCCATCTTGGACGTTGAAACTGTCAGAGAGTTGGGACGAGTCAAAAATGCCATTCGTATTCTAAAGTGCCGGGAAGTTGACGTAATGAGCTGTTGTTAAAAAACAAAAAAACAACAACAACAAAAAAAAACAACAACAACAACAACAAAAACCAAAACGACCGCTCCGCAGGCTAGGCCTCGCTAAAATATTGAGCTGACTGCGAAAATGTAATATACAGTGTACAATGTTTGATCTGATTCTACAGTCATTGCTTTAGTTCTACATACATATACTGATACAGCGCTAGCGTTAATATTATCAGATGATAGTTCACGGAATTTTCTGTCTAAATACTTGCAGAAAACGAGTTATTTGCCATCTATCGATCATTAATACAGTCTCAGGAGGGAGTACATTCACCATTTTGCCTTCTTGTGCAAATAAGAACTTTTGTTATTTTAAACCTCGCTGAAATTACTGAATTTAAATATGAACGGTAAAATTACAGTTTTAAGTTGATTGCTTAAGTAGTCGTAAATTACGCTACTGTGTAAATGCCGCAATTGGTTGCTGGGAATGAGTGGATGCGCTCAAAATACCTGTATGGCATGTATCTTACGACGACAATACGGAAAGGTGATCTTGGGACTCCATAAAGGGAAACGTATCGAGGAATGAGGCAGAAACTTGTTCTAAAACTGAGAGTAAATAGTTTGAGAATTGGCAGACGGGCGGGTGTACCTGCCAGGACCTTGCCAAACGAAAACCCCTCGCAAGTTTACAGGCAATCAAGGGACCAATCAAAATTTCCCACTCACCGCCATAATCTTTGAAATAGTTAATGTTCAAACAACCAAGGTGTACTCTTACTTTGCAGCCAGGTTCAAGACTGCTGTGTTTATTCACTTCACATTGTCCCTCTGAATAAGACAGTAACATTATCTTTATTTTACATGCCATTTATAACTTGCCAATAAAAAATATTAACTGATTATTTTTTTTTTTAGTTTACATTGTTACAATTTCTTGTTTACTTCCACAATTTTCATAGCTCGCTCAGCCTTGTCAGCGGCTTCCTTGGCTTTTGCCATGAGTTCTTGAGCTGCGGCTGCAGCTCGTTTGGCTTCCTGTGCAGCGGATATCGCTGCCTCTTCTGCAGCACGGGCCATGGATTTAGCTGTAAGATATCAAATGCAGAGGGCTGAATAGACAAACGAAACGCTGAAATCTCAAGCCAGCCAGCCGATACTGAAGACTTACACTTTTATTTTACAGGCGACCAGAGGAGCTCGCAATCCTATTCTCCAGGTTGCTATAACGCATGCGCGACACGTATTTAGCTATTATTCGTTTGGGCTCCCGCGCACTAAGAACGAAAGAAATGGACAAAACGGAATCTGATCACACGCGTTTGGACCTTCTTTCTCTCGTAACCTGATCACGCCTTCTATCAATTGAAACGCAAAGCAGCAGAGTCGGACCAAGAGCGTTTTGACCAGCGATTTCCGTTGTTCATGTTAAGGTGTTTGGGACTGATCACCTAGTGCCCCTTTGCATTAAGAATCTAAACGAAGCTAAACGATGACTTTCATCAAATTAATAACTCAAGTGTCAACTCCCAGTCAACTTAACTTCTCCTTACCAGTCCTCCGCTGTGGACAATTATGCTCATCCTTGTTGTCGTTGCAGTCATTGATGCTGTCGCACACCCAGGTCAGCGGTAAACATTTGTCTCCTTCGTCACATGTAAATTTATTGCTCTGGCAAACTATAGAAAGAAATAGGAAAAAGAGGTTAACTCAACCGAATTTTTCTTTTTCTATGTACCACGTTTTATCTCTTGCCATACAAATCAAATTGCTCAAGACTGATTAACAGTAACCTAATATCAAGACGAAACATATATACCATTTTGTAATTCACTCCCTGTTCTGAACACTGAGGCAGAAACTTTGACACTATATCGAAATGATCAAATATTGCACGATTTCTATAAGGCTGAGCGTTTCGAGGGGGTGTAAGAGGTTTGCGTTATTAAACGCAGGGCAGATCTTTTAATATAAAGTTGTAAAAATCAGTCTGGCATTCTATGGCTAGTAAACGGAAGTGAAGGCACTTTAATACGCTCCGGCAGAACATCTAACTGCTTTAATGCCTTCACTACAACCAAAGTTCACCCTTAACACTATTTCAACAGTTACATACAGCAATTAAAAAAACAACGACTTGACATTGATGGCGAGGCATGACATGAGCTTACCTGGATTTAAGGGACAATTTTTCTCGTCCGCACCATCTTGGCAGTCGTTGATACTGTCGCACAAGGAACTCATAAGAAGACACTTGTCCCCTTTGTCACAAGAATAAGTACTTCTGGGACATTCTGAAATAGTCGTCAAATTGTTGAAAAGGTATTATCAGATCAGGCGCAGATCCACACCGGTTTCCCCCTTTTTACGGAAATTGATGGTTAAAACACTTTCCAAGTTGACATCTGGCCAATATCCTGTCTGAATAACTCGGAAACCCAGGAAAGGGGACTTAAGGAGTAAACATCCAAAAAATTTCCTATGGGAGCCCACCCCAAACCCCGGACCTCACTAGAAGCATGCGCCTTCGGCACTCGTTTACGAAATCGGTCAGTATTGGTTGTAAGTTGACAGCGTCTCTACTTATATAAAACCCCGCACTTTCAAAACGAGGCCAAATGCAAAACCTTTCTCACTAAAAATGAGTTTCATATGTATTAGGATAAAAATTGATTTTTTTTTTGACGGAATTTACCTTTTATTGACAAATGGTCCCCCTTCCAAATACCTATTTTAGAACAGTGTATTCCTTTTAAGCGCTGTAAACCACACCTACTTATTAATAAGAATACATAATTAAGCCTAACCAGGAAGTTTTTAAAATTTTGTCTCTTTGTGCCTGTTAGCTCTTTTTGTTGTTATTGGCCTCCAAGTAATCTTGAAACATACGGTTAGTATCAAAGATTGTTTTTGAGTTTTATTCGAATCAATTGGTAAGTGTCAACTTTGCTGTCCGAATTAAGGTGGATCCATAACTTTATAACCTCGGATCATTACACGTTTCTGGGAAACTGCCCACCTACCCCTCCCCTAAGCCAAAATTAACACTTACTTCTCTCTTAGGGCAAAATGTTGGCTTAGGGAAGGGGTAGGTGGGCAGTTTCCCTAACCTCTTACCGCTCAGTGATGATCGGCTGGTGTCCTCCGAACCATCTAGTGAGGTTTCTGTTTTCTTTGAAGCGACTGCAACAACATTAACAAAAAAACTTCCATTAATTACCCTTTGGTACCATATTCGGCGTATAGAATTGTAAATCCGAGACTTTGCGAGACTGTGAGACTCTGGTTTCAAAACTCCGAGATCGAGACTCATCAATTCCAAAGCTAAAATGACCGAAAACGCCAATGAAAGCCCACCAATATACTGCTTCTTCTTGCTCTACTGTCTTAATCTAATAGCTCAGTTCGATAAGCTGTTTCTACGAACTCTGCAGAATTCGACTCCTGAAGACCAAAAGGAAAGAAAAAACGTCATATTCGAGACTCCACAAACCCGTGAGCGAAAAAAAAAAATCGAGACTCCGACACGCAAGAATCACCCAAAAACGAGACTTCGAGACCCATCAAAAACCGCGCTTCCGAGATTTCGAGATCGAGCCAAAATTTCCTGAGACCCACGTTTTTCGAGTGACCATTCTATAGCCCTTTTATTTTGCCAAAGGGAGTTTAAGATTTTACTAAGGCGACGGCAACGAGAACGTCATAGCAACAACTTTGCCGGCACTTGCAGCACAGCGTTGGTACATTTATCCAGTTCTTTGCCGACGATGTGAATTGTCTAATCTCACGTTTTAGCTTGAACGTGAACAAATGAAGACAAATTTCTCTTTCTCTCTTTGAACATGGATAAATTTCTTATGAATTTAACTCTGAAATTTAATTTCGCCTGCTTTTGGCAAAGTGAGCGAGGGAGTAGGATAGTTGCGCTGAAGTTTCAAAGAACGTGACGCCACTTTTTAGAAAGAGTGACGCCTTCGTCACAGTTATCTTCGTCGTATTTTCAACTCCCTAATAAATGAAAAAGTATAAAATAAGAGGGCAATTCATAGGGCCAATTTGGAGGGAGCTAAAGGAAACGAACAGTTAGGGTGTGTTTAACTTACTGTAAGAGGGAATAGTTGTGGTGTTACCAATGAAGCAGTTTCTCTCGTCAAGTTTATCATCGCAGTCATGAACTCCGTCGCAGATCCATTTCAGAGGGATGCACTTGTTTCCACCATCACATCTGTACCGATTATTTGCGCAGGGCTCTGGAAAAAAGCACATAGGCAAATTGTTATTTGCTGCGGTCCTAAGAATAGCAGTAAATCATGTTTTTTACACGTTTTTATTCGCCTTGAAAGTTGTCAAGAAAAAATAAAACGTGTCCACAAAAGAACGAGATTTCACCATTAGTTTTTTTGGGCTCTGAGATATTTAAAAATATGATTAGCAAGTACCTTTTTCTGGATTTTCTACGTATTTTCTGTTCCTCGCGTATGATTCAGCATCTTAAATGAGTAAAAGCAAAATATTATTCAAGAATACAAAAGTTTAGTTTGAAAAGTCCTTGCGGTGAAGAGGATAGCTACAGGGCTAGTACGTCGCATGAGCTCATCAATGGTCATACGCCATTTTAGAAGGTTCTTGTATGCAATTATACAGTATGTACATGTATTGAAGCATTCAGCCAAGAAATTAAAAGGGACATTTGTTAACATTTTTAATATTGCAATTATAGCTGACTACGGCAAAAGGCCTTTCTAATCAGTGCAACAAACCTTTTTTTTACTCTCTCAGGGCCTGGTTGTTCGAAGGCCGATTAGCGCCTAACCCGGGGTTAAATTTAACAGGGTCCCAAAGGGGGGTCCCTGGAGCCCTGGAGCCCTGAAATTTGTGCTGTGGAGCCCGGAGCCCTATCATTTTACTGACTGGAGCCCTGATCCTTTTTTGGCTGTGGAGCCCGGAGCCCAAAGACATTTTGCGCGGAGCCCGGAGCCCAGCATTTTCAAGTTTGATCATTCGAGTTCCCAGATTGCATTGATTTTTGATTACTGCCTTTTTGTGTTTGTTTGTGCGTGTTAACGGGCATAAAAAAACAGAATCTGAAGAGAGGATAGTACATAATACAAGTATACGCGGTTATCTCAGTGTATAATGATATGCAACCATTTTCTTTAGGGATTTAATGAAAACTTTGTTATAATTGTAGTGAGCGTGATAAAAACAACTTTATAGTAACCGGACGTTCCTTTAGCTGTTTGCTCGCGGGTATCAGTTACAACAAATTAAAAAAAAAACTTGACAGATCATTTTGAAGATACAAATAATAGTTGATGACGATCGATGCCACGTGAAAGATGTCAAGGTCAGTCAGGTCAGTGCAAGGTGAGACATCAGAGATTTTGGAGTTTGTCCCATGGAGCATAGAAATCTGATCCGCTCCATGACCTTAGTGTCAACCTTGTACAATGCACTATTCAAGTTTAATATTTAATCCACTTTTAAATCATAGAAGATAATATAACCGGCTGCTTGGGTTTAAAAAATTGATCGGAATTGCTGACTCTTTTATTTGCGTACTTGATTTAGCGTTAAAAATAGAATTTTTACATATCAAGATTGTAGACCAGAGTGGAGCCCGGAGCCCTAAAGCAGATGATGTGGAGCCCTAGAGCCCTGAAATTTTCGACTTGGAGCCCTGGAGCCCTACATTTTTAAGGCCGGAGCCCTGGAGCCCTAAGCCCCTTTGGGACCCTGATTTGACCCGCGTTTCTTTTTCTTGTGTTTAAAAGCATTTTCTCGGATAATTTTCTCTGTTATTTTTAGAGCTTCCGATCATCAACTTGTGGACCATAAGAATTAAGACTAAAATGCTTTTTAACCTTTCTGAGTTCAAATCTCGCACTAACCCTGGGTTATCTTAACCCAGCTTTGAACAACTCGGCCCAGGTCCTTAAGAAAACTCCAGTGTAGTGATAGTAATTGCAAAATGATTCCAAGAGTTCCTTTTTTCGTATTGCCACCAGCCTTGCAATTAACTGATAGTTTATAGCTAGCAAACACGTTCAGAGACGTGGTTCCTGCTTTTAAAGCTATTTATGGGCATACAGTTAGAAACGATAACATGAATAATCGTGTAATAATTGTGGTATTCTCACCTGCTGTTCGGGATAGCACAGCGATAAGCAGAGCCAACGTCAATAGACAACTTTGCATCATCGACAACTTTACCTGTCTTTTAACTGAAATACGCAAGAATACAGCACTTCAGCGGAGGTCAGCGTTCAACTTGAAATACAGTTCCCCTTTTTTGTACACTTGAGCTCTCAGTCAGGTGATACCGGTCAGCGGATACCCTGTGTTGACAGTTGTCAATCGACCACTAAGAGACCGTTGTAACATGGATGTCCGGTATCAAGCTAATCACAGAGATTTTTTCACAATCAAGTTTTATTGGATCATAGATAACCAAATTTAGTTACCCGCGATGCTCCGCTGCGCGTGCTTCTTGCGCGTTTAATTCGCTAAAATCCCACCTGGCTAAAAACTGGTGGCCAAATTGTGGAAAATGGTAAAAATTAACCGGCAAGTAAACAACATAGCCAGCTAACCTAGAGTCCTGTCAACTAACTTTTGCCAAAGGCGTTCCACTTTTGGTGGACCTTGAAATAAAGGTTTTATACACACTCTACACCCCACTCCTCCAAAAAACTTGAAGATCTCATAGTCCTGTTATTAGCTATGTAAATAGTTTCAATTTGAACCATTCATTCATTGACGACTGTGTACCATCTAACGGTGGGCAAAATTTTTTAATATACAACTCCTTAACCTTCGTAAAGTGCTAATAGACTAAATCAGAACGTCTAAGATTCAATTCAACCAAGAGACTGTTATCCTCTCTTGATTCAACTCAATCGCCTATTCTTGATTAAAGTGTGGAGACAAACAACAACTATAAAGAGGGAGCGAAATAGAAACGAAATGAAGGCGATGCTGCCCTTTTATCTACACGTTACAAACGATATAAGGACCATTCCTCAGCTAAAGCAGGGAAGTAAACAGTATAAAATGATCAAAGTATCGAAATACCTACTTTGGATAGTCTTATTTATCAGAGGTCTGTGTCACCGCATGTTGAGGCGCGTCCCGTCGACCTAAAGCCAAGCGCGAAATAAGCTTAAGTCAGATATTTCAAAGTAATCGAAACTTGAAGAGCCCTCTACTTTCTACAAACACAAAAGACGACAAAAGTCAATGCAAAAAAAGTGTAGACTCCATACCTTAGAGGTCGAAAATTAGAAAATCTCCAAGCCGTAGTGCGTTAACGATTTAGATATATTTTTTTATCAATCTGCTATGCATACGTTATTAGCATGACTTTCTGATCTGGCTTCTGACAGATTAACAGGTGGTTTGAATTGGCAGATAAGAGACCTCTTTATCATCCAGAAAGCGGTACTTCAAGGGTCACTAGTTTGCCAATTGCTCAAGTTGTCTGAAAATCACCACGGTCTTGAGGTACTTGAGACGTCTTTCTTCTTTGCTAAATACATTAAACGTCACAATGTATAAATTGTTGTGTTAACATAATTAACTTTAATTGCCTTTTGTATTCGGAAGAGCTTTGAGTAACAAATTAAACAATAGAATATTCCATTTTTTTAGCCATAATGAATCCAAGAATCTCTTGGTAACTCAGTGTACATAGGTCATGGTGTCTTAATGGGAATGCTGAGTGCCACGCATGTATTCCTTCGTAGTCGGCCTAGCTGTGAAAATTTTTGCAAAATTAGTTTTTATTAAAATTCAAAAGTAAGAAAAAAAATCTTGTCTAACAGAGAATCTCTTGGTGAAGGGCAAGCCAAGGGGGGTGTATTTGAAGCTAGATACGGGCTTACCCCAGGAGAACCGATAATCAGCTGTGTTTTTTTTTGTGCTTCTTCGGACTTCTTTGCAAAAAGCGGAAACTAAAAATGTACAGCAGTTGTATCAAAACTGAAAGACGTGCGCCCATGACTTGTACTACAGTGGAAACCTCTATAGTATATAATCAAACTCTATAAAAATAATCGAAGTCCTCGGTATAACGAACGGAATTCTTCCCCCCACTAATATTAAAATCTATCCAAAGGATCTTCGCCTTTCATTATATCAAATGTTTCATCAGGAAGGAATAATGGAATAGAGACGGAATCTCAGGGCGTTGGCCGGGATATGTGAATTTCACTGAAGTTATTTTTTGACGTTGTAATTAAACGGAAGTCTTATAATTCCTGAGGAATTGCACATTTTAATCGATTGTTTAAGACGTCATTAAGTCCAGGCGCGACTGCCTCAGAGCAAGCAATGCAGAATACTGTAATGACGACTGTTGAATTCTCTCTCAAAACCACTGAATAAATTTTGCGTACCTCTCAAGAAAATTAATTTCAAGCATTAAATTGGTCTAAAAACAACTTTGGTGAGATTTACATGTCCCAAGAACCAGGGTTGACGTCTCGCTGTCCCATTCTGACTCTCTCTTGGTTTTACTGTGCGGCTGATCACAAGAAAAATCATACACACCTACTTGTCGTACTATAGGTTTACTATAGAAGACAAAAATATTTTGTCTCGTAAGCTCTGTTGATAACTTAACACTGAAGTATCTTCTTGAATGAGTCACTCCTTCGTCAGTGTGGGAGTTGAAATTTTTTATGGTGGCCAATATATCACTAAAGTCGCCTTTGGCGGGTTTTCACTGGCCAGGCCGCCGACGCAGCAACAGCTTACCTCCTAACTATAAACTATACTTAACTACCAGTTCTTAGAGAGTGACCGACATACATTGTATGTGAAACCTGAGGTTTCACATTAATCAAAAAAATCAACTGTCATGAAAGCTAACTAAAAAGTGTTTAAGGTATTCATTTAGTTTAATCTTATCATCGCCAAGAGATGATAAGGGTAAGTGGGTCGGAACTGACTGAATTAGAGTTTCCTCGCCATTTTATTACTAAGAATATCTAACAGGGATTATACCTCTAGTCTACTATCATTGAGTATACCCTTCACTTTCCGTTTTCCGACGCAGCAGAAAGTGTCTATGTTATTTAAACCTGCCTAGTTACATATACATTGTTTGTATGGCGTTGACCGCCACTTCCTCCGCCTTTGCTGCAACTTTGATGGTCTGTAAAGCCCACATTGCTCTCTTGACTGAAATGTCCTGGGCCTTCTGAGCTAGCCTCGAGATTTCCAGGGAAGACCGCGCGGCTTCAGCAGCAGCTACAAGTGCTGTTGTCTGGGCAGAGGTTGCCTTCAACAAAGCTATCAATTGAGTGAAGTAAAAAAATTGAACTGTTATCTTTTGTAGTGGCTGTTTAAACTCAAAGTAGGCATTAAAGACTAAAGCAATGGAGGAAGGAGGAAAGGGGAAAGAAGAAGGAGGAAGTATTGACATTTGACAAGTGCGCTTCTTTTAATTCTGTGCGAGTGGTTCCGAGTTTCAGGATTCCCAGGTGTGACCACGGATCCTCATTTCGAGATTTTTTCCTTTCCACAAAGCTTTAACTGTAAAACAGATCACTCAGACTAGGTTTTGAAAATTAAAGAGGCTCGGTTAAATCGGAAATGTTCTGATTACGTCATGATAGAAACGTGATGAATGTTTTGAAGTAATCAATAGGTTATCAGTAAAAAATCAGCAATAGGGGTTTCAAACGGGTTTTTCCCCTAATTACAAGTTCAAACTTAGAGGCTTCCGTCGGACCTTTCCGCCATCTGGTCCTGACTTCGCCCATATATCCTTCTACGTTTTGTTCAAATACAAGACAAAGGCCATTTTGAGTAGATTTCCATTATACTGTGGAGCATCCAAACCGTAATTATATATAGTTACTAGGAGACATAACAGTGCTTCTGCTATCTTCCAGTTCGGAGAGAAGGTCGCTATGTCTTGATGTACACCCGAGCCTCTTTAAGGCCCAACTGTTGGTACCTTAATTATTTCACTGAATTACAAAGGCACAAAGTAGATGAAGGTCTTTTATCCTGTCGCACTCACCTTCTCGTGTCAGTTTGATAGTTTTTGGGGACAGCAATTTCAGTTTTTTGTGGCTTATATGATTCTTTTTTCCTTGTCCATAGAATTCCTCATATGTGGGGTCTAAACAAACGAAACAAAGTTAGAAAAGAAAATAATCCTGGAAGCCAGAATTAACGCTGCTTGTCTTTATAGTGAGCCCTTAGTACGTGACAGTGCTAAGATGATTCGTCATTTTGTGTACGTTTTTATCTTCCTACAACAACAAAAACAACAACAACAACTACTACTACTACTACTACTACTACTACTACTACTACTACTACTACTACTACTACTACTACTACTACTACTACTACTACTACTACTACTACTACTACTACTACTACTACTACTACTACTACTACTACTACTACTACTACTACTACTACTACTACTACTACTACTACTACTACTACTACTACTACTACTACTACTACTACTACTAATAATGATATCTTCTCGGGAACTGAGGAAGATAAGTACGCTGTGCACGTCTCAATTGCTTTCACAAACCTTCGATAAGTACAAAAATAACCTCACCTCTTATGGCGTTGATTTTTTCATATTCTTGACCGGGAGGAGGATGGAAGAATGGAGACACAATCGGTTTACTGTCTGAGGTTTTGCAAAAAAAAAAAGGGAAAAGTTATAATTCATTTTTTTACTTTCCTTGAAACACTGCGCATGCATTACAGGAATTAGACCTAAGTTCATGTATTAGGATAGGAAAAATTAAAGACTTCAGGATCTCTCTTACATTTCATTTTCATCCACGTTTGTGTTGACTTCCAGATAATTCATTATTCAATTTTCTTTTGAAATCTTCCCTTAAACTCTTATTGTCAAACTTTGAGTTCTCATTTGTTGTCCCTATACGTTTCCTATAGGAGTAGTGATGAGAATAATTTGCTTAAAAATCAAGAAAATTCATTTTGTGTGATCTACTAACTATCGCCACTTTAGAAACTAGAACGACTTTCGCAGACTTTTAGGACTGATAGGGAAAGGGAAAACAAATTGGCAAATAGCTGACCAGCGTGTCCTCAATAACGATCCCAGAAGTCTTTGCGAAAACTAACTCGTCCCAGTTTCCTTCAAGTTGTCCACAATTCTCGCGACCACTTTCTTCTTAGAAAATGATCTCCCTAAAGGGCTTTAAAAGGGTTAGGAAGACTTGCCTGCAGTTTGTTCAATGGCCAACAAAAGAACAACAGCAGGCAGAAGGATTACCACACTGATCATCGCCACTTGCATTCTTGCGAATGATATGAAACTAGATCAAACAGAAGGAGAGAAAAGAAGAGAAAAAAGACTATAAAATTCCAACAATGTAGGTTGTCATTTAAATACGCGTGTGCAGCCGTTTAAAAAAAAATATTGGAAGAAAAAGTGGACACAACTTGAGCAATTCGCCCTCTCAATGCAGGGAGTTAGCTCATTATGGAGTCTGCTTACAATAGGCTTCACTATGCTGATATTGTACGCACATATATTTAAATTCATGAAATAAACTCAATGTAATACTACCCCTATTCAGCAGCTAGCAACACATTCGTTCCCAGTCCTTCCGCATTTTGTTATGTATAAAGCAGCACGTAATAAATTTGCGATAGAACATAAAGTTGAAGTTGATTAGCTTTTGGAATTTAGACAGAATAATCTTTGTTTTTATGACATGGAATTTGGATTAGGTTAAAGCAAAGAAAACCATTCATTTAAAATGAAACCTGACAGATACATAAGTTTTATTTGCAAAAGTTAAAATGCCGTTAGTTAAGTTCATTCTTACTTTTCTAGTAGATAACTGGTTAATTGAAATAAAGAACAAGGGGGCTGTTTAGAACCGTCTGGAATTTCATTTTCCCAAGATAGGTTGTCTTGTTTTTAAGCAACCTGGGGAAAAGACAAGTTCCTTAGACGCCAGCGGCTTAATATTAAACGAATAGCGTATTAGAGAGATATTTAATTTAATTTCTTTCAGAAATATTGTTTTCAAGTGACAATAGAATAAAAGAACTTACCCTAAATCATTTTCCCATAATCCATTGGAATGATTTGATCACAATTTCTCAACGTATGGAAAGCGATGGAAGAGCAACCTCCATGTAATGAATGAAGTGTTGAGACCTGCGTCTTTCAAGTTGCAAATCAATGGAGTTACTCGTTGTTGACATTCTCGGCGACTGGTGACAAAACTGAGAATAACGACAAGTAAAGGTACTCAGTTCCCGAGCAATAACAAAGTGCATCGCCTTCTAACATACCATTTCAATGTGCGCGGGAGAAATTGACACTTTGTCAAGCTTATGTAAAAGTCAGTTCCTACTTGTATTACCTTTGAGAATTGCAGTATGAATGTAGGCTATTTGGGAAAAATTGTTTAACGGTTGTATGTTCAATGTGGTACCCGCACAAATTATAGGGTAATGTTTATTTAAATATGCTTTAAACATCTATCACTACTTTGTCTTTCATACTGGTTAGTTTGCTCAGTATATACACTTGATATACCACGAAACATTTTAGAATTAAATAATTCTGTTTTTAGTAAGTGATTAAATAGAATCATTCACCATTCTTTTTAGTGAATAAGGTAAATTTAATAGTTTTTTTTTCATATCGGAAATTACATGCATATAAAGAAAAAAAAAAAACCTAATTTGAAGTAAGAGAGTCGAGAGACCGGGCTGCTTGGATGCAATTCTCTTAACTGTCCCATAGTGCTTCTTGTCTCCGCCCTCGGCGTCGAACGTCTACGGCGACAGGTTTTTGGAAAATCTTTAATTTTGCAGCACTTAAAATTAAAAGAGATGACCAAATGTTTCGGGACTTCTCTTTTTTCATCAGTGGACTGGGATAATCAGATCACCATGCAAGTTAAATCGAGTCGAGACAGAAAAAACATATTGAGGCGAGATTACCCTAACCCAAGCGTGGTTTGGTATGCTGCTACTTATGATTGTGTACAGTCATTATGAGTCATCACCATGGTAACTTGGTGTAGGCCTGAAAATCGCGATCAAATGTTTTAGCTGTCAAATGTTTAAGGCCTTAAAAACACGGTGTTGAGTAAAGTACAATCTTTTCTTTAAGCTAGTTTGTATAAAGGGTCTCGGACTGTCGACATTGTCTTTATTACTAATAAAGAAATCATCTTTATCACTTGGCACTTCATTCAAGTTGGAGGTGTTTCAACTGGTTTTTTCTCTATGCTTTAGAAACCTGTTTAGTTGAGCTGTCCCCCAAATTTTTATTTGTTCGAATGTCTTAGAGGAACTTTGGTCATCTCAAAAGTTTTAGGTGACTTTTTCGTCTCTTCTGAGAGAAACTGTTAGCTACCCTAATGAGTCCGTTCAAAAGTTCCAGGATATGGAGTAGCCGTACTTTTTGATTGAAGATTCTAGGGGACATTTTGTCTTTATACCGGAATTTTCAGAAGACTTTTTTAAACCGGCAATAATCGAAATATAACGCGTATAACTGCATGCTTCTAACGTAAACTCGGCCTCTAAAAGGTTACAAAAGATCGGCCAGCTTATCGGCTCTTAACTTTCAGTTTAAAGTTACGCTTCTCGGTCGGTGCATAATTTTTTACAACGTTAATGACTTATACATTTTTCGTTTATTTCTTAATATGACCACACCAAACAGATTTAAATGGCTCAAAATGCTGAACCAGAGACTTCAAGACTAATGTTTCGTCCTGTTTTCCGGCATTAAATGATTTTTCTTTTAACCTAATGTCTGCTTTTTAATTGTAAGAGCTACGTTAAGCAAATTGAAGTTTGTCAACAAAAAGGCTTTGCGATCAGTTTTAGTTTCATCGCAAGTTCGCAACTTCTTATTATAGTAACCTCACCTAAGACACACAAAACAGTGTCACCAAAATAGTTTCTTGTAGATGACCTTTTTCTCGCCCCTCCGCGAAGAGAAGATTGGATTTTTCTGTGAGTCGTCAAAGGGGGGTGTTGACTGTCTGGGCGTACACTGCAGTGTCGCTTCAAATACGGCCTAATTTCATTTTTAGTACATTCAAGAAAGCTTGCGTGCCCTCCGTTTTAAGTAATTTAAAGTTAATGTTCAAGTAATTAACCTTTCCTTGCACAAACTTAATATTTACTGCATGAAACTCTATTTCTTTCTTGTACCATCAGTTCAGTCTAAAAGCCGTTCTTGTACCATGCATCTGTTCAGCAGTCCAGTCTAGAGACGTAATGAAACGTGCGGGTTCGAGGAGAAAGCAAAGATTCACTTGCAATACATGATACGGCTGGAAAAGCGTTATTGCAACAAATTATTAAAATTTGCTCGGGAAAAATTCCATTTAATTTATCTTTTAAAAGTTTGAACTAAGGCTCTTAAGTTTAGCGGAGCCGTGTGATATTAATGTACCTGCACATACGAGTTGTTTAAAGAGACTGCCGACTCATTGTTTTGCGGCGGAGATCATTTACTGCAAATTAGCTTCGAATAAGCTCATGTTTTCGGTGTTTATGGGTTAAATTAGCACACCTGCCTGTACTCAACAATATTATTCCGAATCTTATATAATGGCTGAAAATATCAAGTGCAATTTTTACATGTCGCGTTGTTAAAAGTATGGTTAAGTGTTACGCGTAACTTGACGCCGACGTTTATGGATATGAATTTGTATCGACATTATAGATTTTTTACTTTAATTATTATTCAAGGGCAAAATGTTTCCTAAAGGTGGTAGAAAGCCTGAGGAGACGACATCATGTCCAAGGGTATTATTTTCCGTTCACGTAATAATAGTTGCCCTTTTGTTTCTTACTTTCAAAAAGGTCTTTTTCGCTGACATTTGTGCTTTCTCAGTTTGATGTCACACTGAGTCGTACACTTTATTCTCTCAAATGTATTAGTTTGCCCTTACCTACATGTAATATATGTTTTTCTAGCGTTTTTCTCCGTGAATGTAGCTTTCAACACTTGTTAAATTATTCAAATTACTTGTGAAAATTGGCGAATTCTGGAAAAAGCCAAAGAAGAAGAAGGTGACGATGATGATGGTGAAAAAACAAACTACAACAACAGTTTAGCCATTACACGGCGGACATCACCTTCAGCCAGTTGAATTATTAATGACCGAATCATCCGAATGTAAATAATCAATAAAAGTCGACTTTTAAATTTTTATTCTTTTTCAATATTTTTCTAAATTGAGTGGGCGAAAAAGACGCCTCAACCGGGTATTAGTCAGCCGTGTTATAGTCGTACTTTTATGTAGATTTATGTCAGTGAACTAGAGATGCTGCTTTAGTTGATTAAAGGTGGTCAAAGGAGCAGGTGACCATGCAGCATCACCTTGTTGCGTGATCTTTAATTAAATTGGCGGTCTCTTTTCAGGAATTAAAGGAAAATTTTGCAACACTGGCTACTTACAAGATTGGGTTCACTTTAAAAACGTGGATTGATTAAGGTTTTTATATATTTAATTAGGTTAAACATTTATTACAAGTTAGTCTCAAATGTAAGGCAAAATTTCAAAACGCTAGACATCCTTGTTATGTCCGTCTTTTAGGTTAGTTCTTTTTTCAAGTCTTTTTCCTTCTTAAATTCCGGTTAATTAGGAAAAGCGCCTTAGGAACCAGTCTGGTCCTTAGGCCGCTCACATACGCTCATCTG